TTGATAAATTATGTTTGAGAGAGAAACATGGGCATCAGCAAAAGGGATCTTCAAGTGGTGATGGAGATTTTGGACATTTTCGAGGTCACTTGCTCTTTGAGTTTCTTGAACAGGATCCACCATTCATTCGTGAACCTTTATCTGATAAGGTGTTTACATCTTGTTTACACAAGTAAAACAAATTCGATTTTCTGGTCTTGTTTGTGATGTTTATTTAAGTATGTTCCTTCAGATTTCAGATCTTGCACGGTGTTTCCCTGCATTGAAGTCCCTTCGAAGTTGTGATCTTTTGCCATCCAGTTGGATATCAGTTGCATGGTGAGATTCAGATCGACTGAAAAACATTGTATTTAAAAAATAAATATTGATTTTGTGTAGCTTGCTTGTGTTTAAGGTATCCTATATATCGAATTCCTAATGGCCCTACATTGAAGGATCTGGATGCTTGCTTTTTGACCTTTCATTCTCTTTCCACACTGATGAAAGGTAAATATCATCTTTTGCACTGTCTTTTATTCCTCTCCTTACTAGATGGACATGTACAATACATTATGCTTGAGATAAATATGGTCTAATCAAAATTAGGTTTGTTCTGGCTTGATGATTTTGTCCTAAATTGATTGATGTGCAATGCTGCTACTTGGCATTGTTGTTTTGACCTTTAGAAGTTGTAAGACAAACTCGATGACTGAAAAATTATTAAGCGTAAATTTTGTTGACTTCACCTCTTTGCACAATTTATCAATTGAACAAGCTTAATTCTTAGATTAGCTATTCATCTACCTATAATAAATGGCTAGCTAGTGATAATTTGCATCTAAGTGAAGCCTCATTCAGTCTATGCCCAAGCTTAATTCAAGGTTAAATGTTTAACTTGTTTCAGGGTTGTTGGACATGGGCTCAAGCTCAAATTTATTATTCTTTGGACTGATCCATTGATGATGGATTTGTAGAATCAATCTAAGCTATATTTTGATTAAAACTGATGAAATCCACTGAAGAAGATTTGTTGTAGATGGTAACTTATTTTAAAATTGATGTAGTTTGATTCTGTCAACTATAATGAGCTGTGTTTGAGTGATGAACCATTTTTCATGCTAAAAATAGATGCTTTTAAAGTTTTGCTTGTGACCTCAGACCTGAGAGTACACTACTTTGCTGTTTTATAATATTAATCTTGTTTACTTATTCCTTGTGCTTACTGGTTTTATTGCAGATGATGGTGGTGCCTCCGGCCCTTCAATTTCAATTTTACAAGGGGTTAATGGTGTTCCTATGGTCTCCCTTCCTGTTTTCGGACTTGCATCTTACAAGTGTCGGGGTTCCATATGGACTCCTAATGGTGGCACCGAGATGCAACTTGTGAATTCCCTGATGCAAGCTGCCGACGATTGGGTACGACTCCAAAATATTAATCACCCAGATTACCGGTTCTTCACTTCGCACGGCACATTCAGGAGATAGAACTACTATCACCCTGGTTTCATTTGTGCTCAAATTGGATCATGGGCAATAAGTCGGGATGCACATTAGCAGTGGCCTTCGATCTACTGTGTTGTGGAGCAAGTAATGACAAAAAATAAAAAAGCAAGTGTGAAAGCACAAAAGCGGGGTAATAGGAGGCAAAATCCTGTGAGAAGAAAAAGAAGGATCAGAGAAGGTATAATTTGTGAAGAGGAACCAAAAGATGATCAGACCGAGAAAAAAGGTAGCCCATGAAGGAGATAATTTCTCATCCATATAACCTGGTGGATGATGATGGTGTATGTTTTGGTGTGTTTTGTTGGAATGGTTACCTGAAAGGACATTTTATTGTTCACATGTCCAGATTGGTCCGTAACATAAGCTTACTTTCTGGGCATGTCTGACAATGATACCTTCGCGATGCCCACCAAAATCAAACTGTTGTGTTTTAGCATAATGAGCACTTCTAATAGGTTGATGACAGGATCTGTGTATCTGCTCGTGTTCTGTTGTCGGTACGTTTTGTTCTCTTCAAAGCTGGTCTCCCCGTTCCTTGAAAGATCGCATGCTTTTGTTTGAGAGACCACATAAATGTCTGAGTGTCTCGTGCAAAAATAATTATTATTTGAGATTATTATCTGTAATCCTTTTAGGTTATTTTTATATTATTCTTTTATGAATAGATATATATGTTCTTAATTTATAATTATGTTTTATTTTTTATTTTTTATTTATAATTTTTTTCTTGATTTTCTTTCTTCTTCTTTTAATCATCGCAGGTGATGTAAAATGATGGAAAAAAAATAAATTAAATTAAAGATAAAAATTGAAGAGATGAGAAATAATTTTTATAATAATTTAATATTTTTAAAGTTATTTAGATGTTGTAATAGCACATAACACAACATCTTTCAGATTAGTTATTATATTATTAACACATTAAAGAATTATGAATATTATAAAGGGCTCCTCATTATTTATTTTTTTGCGGGGGGGAGAGCCTTCATTTGAAAGAAGAAGAAGAAGAAGACACCATACTGTTTACACCCTTCTATAATAATGATGTAATCTTGAAATGTGTTCTTTGTCTATCCCATGTGTTTCCATCAGGAGACAAATTTTATCTGAGGGAGACGGAAAATAAGATCGGTGGCGGAGACCCAATTCGGCGTGTTAACAACCTTCAAGCGGCCTTGATCTTCCTCTCCAACACATCGGAGCAGATCTGCCCCATCATGTGGTAGAAGGAGAGCAATTCCGACAGCTGCTCCACCGACATCTTCCGCATCACGTTCCTCGCCACCATCTCCCTCCCCTCGTTCATCTTAAGCTTCTGCAAGTAGGACGAGGCGTTCCTCACCGTCGCGCCCATCTGCTTCAGCCTCTGCTCCTGCTGAATGCTCAACGCCGTGTTCGACTAATGGCAAAAGAGAAGAACCAAAGGTCAGACGATCCAAAACACCGCCTGTTACGGTCGACGCTCGTCCTCCTCCTGACGGATGATGAGCGGTAAAAGTACCTCAAGGAACTCGGCTCCGGCTTCGAGATCCTGCTCCTCCGAGGGTGGCATGTCGAGCCTCGCGTCGTACAAGTTCTTGGCAATCGAGAAGCTTCTCACGATGGTCTTCCTTTTCTTCTCCAGTTCCTGATCCATCTTGGGTGCGCGATTCAGATTCACCTTCCTCCGGTACGCGATCACCGCCTTCACAAATTCCTACACGATCCCAAGCCCATGCCATTATGTTGAGACGAACACGAAGACTTGATCTCGATCGAGATGATGTTGCATGCGCGTAGCTATGGATGTACCTGGTAAGCCCTGGGACATCCTGGGTAATCGAATTCGTCGGATTCAGAGCGCCTCATTCGTTCGGGGTGGAACTGCAAACCCATGATGAACTTGCCCTCTTCCGGGTTGTACGCGTCGGGGTCGTAGAACCCTTCCACCAATCCGTCCCCGGCGAAGGCCATGGGGACGAACCGCTCCGCCAATCTCTTCACCCCCTGATGGTGATAGCTGTTGACCTCCAGCTCCATCTTGTCCTCGTCCAGCGACTCCCGGAACCAGGAGTGCAGCGGCGTGTTCTCCACCACCCGCGCCGCGTGCCGGTGGCCGTCGTAGTCGGCGTAGTTCATGTGGACGGTGGCGGTGCTGCCCCCGGCGTCGTCCTTCTTGGAGAGCTCCCTCTCGACGTCCTGGTACAGGGTGCCGCCGCAGGCGACGTTGAGGATCTGGGAGCCGCGGCAGATGCCGAGGTAGGGGATGTTGCGCTCGAGGCAGAGCTTGGCGAGCCGGAGCTCGATGGAGTCCTTCTCGCGGTCGATGGCGGTGTCGCTGGTGTGGAGGTTGCGGATCTCGTCCAGCTCCTCGGGCGACAGCCCCGAGATGTCGGTCTCGTAGTGGGAAGGGTCGATGTCCTCCCCTTCGCACAGCAGCACGCCGTGGATCGGCTCGAAGCTATCGAGCAACATATGGACGCCGGCCACGCGGGGGACGATCACCGGCACCGCCCCGTACCCGACTATGAGATCGAGGTGGTATTCCCCTGATTGCATGCACGCGTGTAACAACAACAACACATCAAGAAGAAGGATCACAAGAAGATGCGGGAGGGGAGAGGTGGGATCGTTGGTAAGGGTTGCGCACCGACGAAGTCGACGAACTTGTTCTTGCGGACGCAGCGGCGGGAGACGATGAGGACGCGGGGAAGGACGGTGGAGAGGTCAGGGGAGCCCATGTCCGTTCTTCTCGCTTCCTCGATTGCTTGGTGTTACCGGGGCGTGCATCAGCCTCTTTATAATGACATGTTTATGAGGCAAACGTGGCCCTCAAAAGATCTCAATGCTTAAGCTATTTCTAATTTTAGTGTTCCTCCTTATCCCCAATAATATAATATTTATTTTCCGTTTTGATGCATGCACGAGAGAAACAGCGAGGCCCCGCCGCGTCACGCATCGATGTCGGGAGGACGGCGATCGATCCATGGGTTTGGTTTAGGTCACTGATGAAGTGTCGATGACGATGATGATGACGACGCCGACGAGATTGGAACGCAGTCAAAGCTGCCAACAGCTCGATCGATTATTTTTAGAGAGAGAGAGAGCGAACGGAGTGGATCGGATCGGGTTGGTGGAACGCCACGTGGTGAGTGGTTATCCGGCGAAGTCAGAGCTGCCAACAGCAAGCTGACGTGCCACAATAAGCTCGCGAAGCACCTCTTCGCCTTCCTCGCTCGCGTCGGTGGTTGGTCGCATCCGTGAAGCAGGTGTCTGATTTGGCCACGGGGATTGCGATGGAAGACGACGCACGAGAGAGGAAGATGAAGGAAAGGTTTCCAGCAGTGTAATTAATACTTTGATTATTTGTAGGAAAATCCTTAATTACTGTATGGTAAATCTAATTCCTTAATTTTAATATTTTTTGATAGACTAGTATAATATTTATGTTTTTTTGTACTCCAAATAGATAAACTTACATGCAAACCAAAGGACTAAATCAAAATCTTGGTTTGATGGAAAACGAATCAACGTGAGGCACAAGATATCAAAGAAACATTAGTGGAAGGACGGAAAACAGGTGAACTGTCAGCATGCAATAAATAATGCAGGATGGACGGGGATGCATTTTTGGTCTCCTTAGGAAACAAAAAAATGTGCAGCGCATGGGGTATTGCTAAGTTCGCATGACACTCAGAAAATAGTGCACATTAGAGCTGTCACAGTACAAAAGTTGATTAAGTTCCATGTACCACTGAAAGAGATATGGAGACATGAGGACATGTAGGTTCCTGTATTCCAGTGATCAGTTGTATGGATAGAAATGAAGCAAGAGATACGTCATAATCTTACTAGCTATTTGCTGCATACAAACAAGAAACAAGGCATTAAGTTTTGGAGCTACAACAAGTTGAGTTCAAACCTGATGAGAGGCAAAAGAAGCATGCAAGCATTCGCAGTGAATTGTTGGTGTGCTCGTGAGCTGACAGTGACATCTCTGTCCAGAACTTGACGAACTTGAAATACATCGAAGACAAGCCTGCTTCTATCGTTATCCATAAAGTATACAACTAAATCATTATCTCACAAGATGAGTTGCTCGTGGAGGATACCGTGACGAGTCACGTTATTGGACTTGGACTTTCAGCATAGTACCTCAGCCCCCACGCAAGTCTTGGCGCTTATGTCAGAGATGGCTGGTACTATATGACCTGCAAAACTTTCATAGAAACTATTGAGAACCTTTAGAAGACAAACTGAAGTGTTAAACCCCTTCTCTTACTCTTATCCCAAATCCAACAAACTATGGTTCCTTAGAAGACAAGGATATACGAAGACAGAATTACACAATGAGAGACGAAACCTTCAACCATTTGTGTTTCCAAGCCCTCTCTTCTCAGGACCAAATTCTGCCATCCCCACACCGCCTTCGTTTTGGTGCTTCACCCATCCGCCCATGTCAGCCTTGGAGTAGCTCCAATAGTAAAGAAGTGAGGATATCATCGAAAGCAGCACGAAGGTAGCTCCTGCTGCGAAAACCCCCTTACGGAGCGCTGTGCAGGACGACAAGTCCTTCTTGGCAAAGTAACCCACATACTTAGTATGGTATGCATTCCTTGCAGATCCTGCCAACAGGCAAACTTCGGCCACCAGAAAACTTATCCTGAGGGTCAACAGAATTTAATACAGAAGCTAATAATGTGAGCCATGATACACCTATATAAGTAAAACTTAATCAACATAACAGGATATGATACTTAAATCATGAAATCACGATTTCTTCAAACAGAACATGTCTCACATGTACAATCAATGCCATGAACTATGAGGTGTGCTCATACTCATTGCATCCTTCAATTGCAGCTCATGCTACATGTACAGTAGAGATACTCATTTCAAATCATGAAGCAATTAATTTGCTCCAACTGATGATTAATACAAAAACAATATATACTGGCACACCATGACATCTGCATGATGTAGTGCACCCAAACCTTTCGAGTTGGAACATCAGAGTCTCTTTTTATTCTAATACACTTGACCCTCGTTTTGTCCATCTACACATTGATGACGTTTGAGAATCTGGATAGCTAGTCTTTTTGAGATAACATTTATTCACTTCTACTCCACATGTAAATATGCCAAAATACTATTGGACTAAACTGGAACCATATCTATACCGTTGTATTTAAAAATTATGTGATGTAATCGATATATACAAGCTAGGTTGAAGTCGAGTCAATATAGATTGACTAAGCTCTAACATGTGAATTGCTTAACCTTGAGAAGATGCGATAAAGAATAATTAACTAAAATACTCAAGACCCATATAGTTTTTGGCAAACCTAACCCGATGCGTTGGATCAAACTATCTATTGCCTCATGATGGGCTTGCAAGTGATTAAGGATATATGAAAACAAGATTCGTGTATACTTTGTGTACAACAAAAAATTATGATATGTTGGTTGGAATGATCAATACAACAATCTCACATGGTAGCTCTAGAATGCAAAAGAAATTTAGGGCTAACTACAGATTGCCCCATGTAATTAGCTACCTTTAGCGTCTCGGTCCTTATACTTTAAAAAGTTGCATTGACAACCCTGTAGTTACGAAAATGAAACGATTAGGTTTATTTACCTTAACAACGTCAGTTTTTATCGACGAAAACATGAAAATAAAGGGTAAAAAAGTAATTTTAAGTTCGATGGTGGACGATGTCGATAGCGAATGGCAACGTCGCTAGCATCGGTGGTGGCAAACGGCAGCGTCATTGGCGTCAGTGGTGGCGGATCCCTTCCCCTCCCCCCTCATCCCCGGCATCAAGCGATCACTGCCCTCCGTCTCTTCGATCGCTTCCTCATCGCTACCCCCTCTGCCTTCCCCCTCATCCTCCCCTTCTCCTTCTCCCCCCTCACCCCCGACGTCGAGCACGTCCGCCACCTTTCCTGCTACCATCCTATTCATAGCTTCATCCTAAGAAGATAAAGAAGGTGTCATCTCTCTCGGAGCTCAGCTTCACTGATGACATACACAAGACCCTATTTTGCCCCATCTGGCAGGCGATGTCGTTGTCTCTCACTCAACGTCAAACATCCGTGATCGATGTTGAGTATGTGGGCATGGCCATTGCCTAGACGATCTTGGCGAACGAGCTGGTGCTTGTGGATGCCAAACCCGACAAGCTACAGGGGGGATGCTGGACCTACAGCACACCACGGCCTTTCTCCCGCGCACATGGATCCTAGCATCTCTGGACTACACAGTGACGGCAAAACTTGGACATCTACATCAACACGGTCGGCAACTAAACCTGCTGCAACACAATTTGGCGCTATTCAAGGAGATCGTGTCGCCGCTGGCGAGGTACTCGTCGGGGAAGCTGCTGCTAGTGGTGTCAAATCTGATGGTGTTGATATATATCGCATGGAAGTTGTCGAGGCTTTCGCCGAACAGGGTGATCAGGTCGGGGACCAACCTCAACTCCTCGCGTTTCAAGTTCTTGCTCATCGATCATCCGGAAGTCAACGCTTAAGATGTCAAAGTAGGCGAAGAACTCATTGAAGCGGTGGTTGGTGGAGAACTTCAACAGGACGCGGGGAGTGCTGAGGTCGACGACAAAGTGGTGGCTCATGTCGATGAAGAAGTTGGAGAGGAGGGTAGGTGACTTTTTATCGGCGAAACTGAGCTCCGAGAGAGATGACACCTTCTTCATCTTCTCAGGCCGAAGCTATGAACAGGATGGTAGCAGGAAAGGTGGCGAACGTGCACGATGCCAAGGGCAAGGTGGAGAAGAAGGGGAGGACGAGGGGGGAGGCAGAGGGGTAGCAACGAGGAAGTGGTCGAGGAAGCGGAGGGTGGCGACTGCTCGACGTTGGGGACGAGGAGGGGGTGGAGGGGGAGGGGTCCGCCACCACCAACGCCAGCAACGCCATCGTCCGTCACCATCCTGCCATCAACACCGTCCATCATCAAACTTAAAATTACTTGTTTACCCTTTATTTTTATATTTTCGTCGATAAAAACTGACGTTGTTAGGGTAAATGGACGAAATCGTTTCACTTTCATAACTACAAGGATGCTAATGCAACTTTTTAAAGTATAGGGACCGGAATGTTAAAGACAGCTAACTACAGGGGGCAATCTGTAGTTATCCCAGAAAATTAAGATATTGGTTGCGATTAATACAACAATATCACATGGTAGTTTTTAAATATGGAAGAGCATGAATCAGATTGCCTTGACTTCAAGAACCCAAACTAGACAGAAACTTATTATATAAAAAGCTCCAAAGTCACACGAGCAAGTGACTACAGGAAAAAAAATCATACAGAAACCAAACCAAAGACATCCCATTCAAATTATGAGCATACAACATAATATTTGTAGGCATAAAATTTAATAAATTGGTGCCGTCAAGGAGTGTTTTATAAATGATTGCATACAATTTAACTCATGTCTGTTCTGGCAGCTTCTTAGCCCCAAATTAAAGTCGAACAGAAAGTTGTATAATTTCTTAGGTTTGGTTTCTCTTTTGACAGGATTAAAAAAAATGGAAAATGTAACCAAATGCACAGGTTTGATTTTATTTTGATTTACAATTTCTGTGAGGTTGCATGGACACATCTATTCGTGACCAAAAGACATCCATCCATGTCTAATTAAATGTAGTAAACACCATCGACAAATTTCGCAAACGTGTGTATATACCACTTGTCAATTGATAGTTGTGATTAGAGAAGTTTATCTATGATTACCTCAAAGCAGTAAAATTTTAATGGGGCTTGCAAGACATACATGTAACACCTTTCTTGTTATAGTAACAACACAAAATGTTCTGATTTACTCTATGAAGCTAAAAATATAAATCATTATATCAAGGGAAACATACAGAAAATGATATCTAGTAAAATGCCCATAAACTAACACAAAAGCTTGATATTGCAATCAAGGATGCAAAGAAAGATTTTTTTTTCCCATCTTCCACTTAATACGATGTTTTTTATACATATATCTTATATACTAACTAGATGTATTTTACACTATCTCACAAATTTATTTTGTTTGGCTATCTAATTAAGGAATAATAAACTTAAATGTGCCAACTGATTCACTACAATATTATGTAACAGCTATCTGATACCAAACTCAGTTATTAGAATTTGATATTGGATATGTATATCATTGGATGTAGTTGTGGGATTCTGCTTACAAATCCTACATAAATCACTTGATTTTGATTGAAGATACTACCAACAGAACCATTAATTGCTGCTGCTTGACTTTCAAGGAAGCTATTATAACCTGGGCATTGTTTGTTTGTGGAGTGAACATGAGCTACTAAATAAGATCCCATATAACCCCATTAACTAAAATAATAAAACCATGCCCAAGCAGCGCTAGTTTGTTGCGTCTGCATACAATCATCGAAGTGGGGACTAATTACATATTACCCTCTGTAATTAATTATCTTTAGCATCCCGGTCCTTATACTTTCAAAAGTTATTTTGAAATCTTTATACTTACGAAAGTAAAACATTTAACTCCGTTGCTCCAAAAATTTTATTTACTTTTTAACCCTGTGAAATTATTTTTATAACCCTATATAGGGATCTCAATGTTTCACTTTCGTAAATATAGGGATCCCAATATAATTTTTAAAAGATATAAAGATTGGGATGCTAAAGATAACTAATTACAGGGGCTAATATGTAATTAGCACTCGAAGTGAAGGTTTCTGCACACCATGTGTTTGTGAGTTGGTTCTTCGGCTTTTTTCTTCTTTAAAACTATTACCAAACCATTAGAGAAATCACAAGGCACCTTCTTCTTCTTCAACTTCGATTACCTTAGCGAGTAGAATAATTCTACTGTCAGATGTGAAAAATTTTATCTCCAGAGCAACAGCCACAAAAAGGTAAAATTTTATGCTATAGAGAGAAGGGGGAGGGATGACCCACCAGGAGACGACGAACGAGGCGATGGCACAGGTCCTTGGGCCACCGGCGGAGAGGCCCCGACCGAAGCAGAGGCATCGGGTAGCGGCGCTCACCACCGCCTGGCTCAGCAACAGGAGGCCGAACGCGGACAGGCCGTAAGCCGTGGACGCGTCCGAGTCGTACGCGCAGAACGTCCGCTCGTCGTACTCGTCCGGCACCACCTTGCCCTTCGTCATCACCACCCCGCCTCAGATACCAGGAGGAACTAGAAACAGAAACAGAACTAGGAGCAAGAGAAGTAGAAGCAGCGTACGGTACTCCGGCGCATCTCGGCGCCGATGGCGAGGACAAAGGCGAGGATGTGGAGGAAAGCGACGACGACAACCACTATGACCGATATCCCCGCCATGCCCGCCGCTGCCACCACCACAGTTAGACAGATCGCCAGAAAAAAGAGGGCCTTTCCTTTGGCTTTACCTTTAGCCTTCTCCTTCCTCTTTAATAATGGCACGATTCCGTCCGATTAACCCTAACATTCCATTAACTTTTTTCCTATTACAAGAATGGTAAATTCCATTTACTAGTAAACAAAATAAAGAAGGGAATCCCAGGCAAATGTGGATGGATAAGAGCAGCGGGAGCGATCGTTGTCGTCCTCCTGTAACATCGCTCATCGGCCTCAGTTCAGTGGACTGAAGTGACCAGTAAAGTAAACGTCGAAGGTAAAGAAGGGAAAAGAAGGACCCAACCCACGACAGCTGTCCTAAATTACAGCAATTTAATCTAATTTAATAATACTCTGGAAAACATTTTTTATGAGCTTAAGGAATATTTTTAAGGTTTATATTATAAAGAGTATATTTAAAATTGAAACTATCGAGCCATAGTTAATTGTGGTCGCCATCGACGTCTTAATTCGTGGTAGGACATGATCGAGTCACATTTCCACTGGAGACCGCATGGCTCTCTATTGATTTGTAGGTTGAGATATTGAATCTGCAAGCAAGTTAAAATGGGCCTTATTGGGCCTCCTCTAATGTGCCGTGATTCCATGAAAGACCTGCTGCTGCCTCACCGGGAATAAAGTAGAGGCACACTACCACATGCTTGCTTGTTGCATCTTTCCTTCTACAATGATGTCTTCTTACGTCCGCTAAGGTCATTTCAGCAGAAAGAAATATCAGGTCATCTCTACGTCCATTATGATGTCTTCTTAATGGGAGCTCATGCGCTGGAACTCCCCTTAAGGTTTGAGATCACTCATTTTTCCTATCTAATTAACCGGTCTAAATTACTAATCATATGATGTGATCTACGGTTTAGAAACATTGGTTTCAGTTTTAAAGTCTCTAGTTTCGATTTTTCAAAATAAAAAATGTCAAATTTATAATTTTTATATAAAATAAAATTATTTTTTATTTTTTATAATTTTATAAATAAAATTATATTTTATAATTTTTATATAAATAAAATTATCTTTTAAGTTTTAAAACGGATAGGAATGAGTTGTAGCTTGGCGAAAGGTAATCGAATCGGTGGATTGTTCTCTTCTCTTCCGCAGAGGAAGGTTAGCTAGTAAATGCTATACAACTTACTCGTTCTATCGACATAAGATTGAAGCATAAGATTAAAAGTTCGAAAAAGGAGGCGACCCATAGAAGACCAACATGAAAGGTAGCAATGATCATACTATACTAAAGGAAGGAGAGGAGGAAGCCCCTAGGAGTGAAAACCAATAGTGAGAGAGATGGTTTCGACTGAAAGGGGGGAGTTGTCGAGTAATAACATAAAAAAATTGATGTAAAAATGTAAATTATAAAAAAAATTAATCAAATAAATAATGTTATAAAGATTTAAACCCGAATTTATTAGATTCAAAACTAATTATTTAACCATTATACATACCACAAGTAATAAAAATATTATATTTTTATTATATATATATATATATACTTAACCAATTTAGAACCGAACCGTCGGTCTATAATCAAAATTAGAAACCAAATCGAACCGAACCCTTCGATCTATACTGTACATCTCTGGTCATGCAGCACAAGTGCCTCGGTCTTGTCATGAACAGTGACTCCCAGCTTTATATTTCTCCATTGTAAGAAAGCGGCATCCAAAGAAAGCACCACTAGCATCATTTAAACCGGATAACGTAGAGGGCATCTTGTTCTGTGATGGACGTGTTGTTCCATTAAAGCATCCCTTCGAGACAGAGATGGAGTTGAAGCTATAACAGTTTTGACTTTTTTTGGAGGTCCAACAGGACATTTTTGTTATCATGTTAGAAAATCTTATAAAGGTTTGATGAATATTAAAAAAATAAAAAAAAATATTTGAAAGCTATAAACTCATATAAATCTGAATCTTTGAACCTCTTTTTACTCTTACCTCATGTCTTCTCTTTCGCAGTGACCTTCCTTTCCAATACAAAGAACCTTCGATCCTGCGCTACTAACTTTGCTTTGTTTAGTGCTTATACAGATTGCAGCCTTTCCTCTGTCTTCGCCAATAAGCCGCGAGTAGCGTACACGAAGAGATATGTTTGGATTCTGGAGGCGCCGTGGAGGCTGTGTTTAGTGCCCATCGAAAGGAAGAGGAAGTGGACACGATCTGCATTATTAGAGGCAGAGCCTTCGATGGGATCGCGAACAGCTCCCGCACTCGCCACGGTGTCTCCAAATTGACCCCTTGGATTGCAGCTGGCCATACGTTGTGCTCTGGTCCATTTGACTTACGCGGGAAGATTACGATCTTCTTCTGCTCGACCACCAAGCGTTGCTCATCATGATATCCGTCCGCCTGCCTCTCTTGCGCTGCTCGAAGATGAGAAGTGGCTGAGAATGGAAACAGGAGGTGGTGGTGATAGTGGTAGCGTTCTTCTGCTGTTTGCTATTGTTCTCGCAACTCTGTGTGCAGTCTCAGCTGTCATCTTCTCTTGCGCCGATGGATTCTCAAAGGGCAAAGCTTCTGCGGCAGGGAACACTCACATACACAGCAGCGGCGACGGGTTCTCGGCCGAGTGCGGTGCGGCTTGCGGTGGAGGCTGCGGCGCCTGAGGTGACTCTACCCTACTCTGGATCTGCCATCATCAGATCCCTGACCTGTATCCACTTGCTGGTTTCTTATCGTACTCGAGTAACTCACCGTGGAAGTTAAATGATTAGAACAACATTTTTCTCGACTTCCAATCCTCCGTGAGGTTGTGTTTGAAACCATGAAGATAAACACTGACCAGACTTTGCTATTTGGAAATGCCTTTTGCTCATATAAAGTAGTCAAGCATTGATCACTGTAGAGTTAGTCATTTGTGTTATATGCTTGCTCAACTTTACACATGAATTCTTGCTCCCCTGACGGGCTATGGTGCTTTCCTTTGGCTATTTAGACCACTCGAGGGTTACCTTCAAAGAAAGGAGAGAGAGAGAGAGAGAGAGAGAGAGAGAGTGACTATAACGTTACACAAATTGATATTAGCATCCTCTTCGAAAATATAAAAATTAAGATTACTCTGATAATTGATGAGAGTAATAAAAGACAAGTTCTTTTAGGAATATATATATAAGACTGTCGTTGGAATTATTTTAAGACAAGCCAAATCTAATTAAAGATCGATTATTCCCCATCAAATTTCATTCTCTCTTATGACCCTCTCGAACGCAATTGTTATGTTAATACTGTACTGAAACAGGAATCACATGACACTCCACAAAACTTCTTTGAATCACATAACATACTTAGTTATTCAGCAACCTAATGAAAAAACTAATAGTTGGGATAATAAGAAAGAATAAAAAGGACTACTGCCGACATCTGAAGTCTCAGGTGGCACGCGGCATTTGCACCTATTTCCAACTTAGAGAGAGAAAGAGGATGAGACAGGAGTGGTGTTATTGGAGCTCGCAATCTTTGCTGTTGATTTCTGTAGTTCCCTGGGTTGCTGCGTTTCATTCTCCCTTACCAACATCGACTTAAACCTTCGACCTTTTGATCTCTCCTCGAGGAGGGTAAACAAATGAAGACATATGTAAGGATGTCATTCTCATATACGTATACCTCTCATTGTTCTTTCTTTAGAGAAGAGAAAGGAGTTAGACAGATGTGTAGAAAAGGATACGGTTGTCACTTTTCATGCCACACATGACTCTCATTATAGTCCCAAGCAATGGATAGACGTAAAGCTGACATGCCTCACAAGATCCAGAACGATTTGCTTTGGCTACAGAACGAGCAGATGCAAGCAAAGTCTCGGAGCTAACAGGGAATACATCCCACACCTTTTCTCATGCATGTGTACTCGGATCTCAGAGGGAATAAGATGCTCAGAAAAGATCCAAGCTCGGCTGCAGGGATGACCAGAGATGATGTATAGGTGACATGGCTGAATGAGTTCGGCCGCGTGTCTTCGGATCTAGCAAGAACCGATGGGTGATGATCTTCGTGGAACAATAAAGCTTTCATCGTAATAGTAATATATAGGACAAATGACACATGATGATGGTACACTGCTAGCTTACATCTCTGCGGTAATTCATGTGCATGAACATGGATGCTTTAATTTTAAGCTCTTTATCTGTGTGCTTACTTTTGCATGCCCAAGATGTTCTTAATCTGCACCTACGTGAAAATACGTGGATTTCGATGCTTGTATGATATTTTGTGATATATATTTCAGCCTCCATTGTATAGGAGAAGTTCTCTGCTTCCGCATCCATGGCGAACGGGCCCAGAAACCTCGTTCTCTCTCTCTCTCTCTCTCTCTCTCTCTCTCTCTCTCTCTCTCTCTCTCTCTCTATATATATATATATATATATATATATGATGCTAAAATTTCTTTTTCTGAGGCGCGGACACGTAGGAAAGAAAATAAGACGAGATTACATAACCCAGCTTAGCTTTTCCTCCTTCCACGACCCAAACCCCGCTCCGCTTTGGATCCATCTGCCGCTCCGGTTGGCTCGATTCCATGGCGGAAACCGAGGCTTCCGCTGGTGAAGGAGGCGGCCTCGGATACGCGGACTCGCTCGACTCTTGCGACGAGCCCCCCTTCTCCTCCGCAGGCCGCCTCCGCTTGATGTGCAGCTATGGCGGACGCATCGTCCCCCGGCCCACCGAGAAGTCCCTCTGCTACCTCGGCGGCGAGACCCGCATCGTCGTCGTCGACCGTCACTCCGCCCTCGCTGACATCTGCGCCAAGCTCTCACGGACCCTCCTCGGCGGTCGAACCTTTTCCCTCAAGTACCAGCTTCCCAGCGAGGACCTCGACTCGCTCATCTCCGTCGCCACTGACGAGGACCTCGACAACATGATCGACGAGTACGACCGCGTCCTGGCCACGTCCTCAGCCGGCGCTGGGGGCGGATGTTCATCCGGCTCCTCCCGCCTCCGGCTGTTCCTGTTCCCTTCCAAGCCTGAGATGTCACCTGCGTCCTCGATCGGGACGCTGCTGGATGACTCCAAGTCGGAGACTTGGTTCGTGGATGCGCTCAATAGCGTCATGGGAGGGATGGAGGTTGACGGCCTGCCCCGCGGCCTCTCCTCCGACTCCGCCTCCGTTAACTGCCTCCTCGGTCTGGAGGAAGGCTCCTCTGTGCATTCCCGTAGCGGCGCAGCAATCGCCGCCTGCAGCGCCCACTCGGATCCACCGGATCAGCTTGCACTCCCGAGCCCGGACTCGTCCGGCAAGCTCGCCCGCCACGGCCACGATCTATACTCGGTCCCAGACTCGCCGATGCTAGACTCGACTTCCTCCTTTGGATCGGCCTCCTCCGCTCCTTCTCTGTCCAATCTCCCGCCCATCCGCGTCCGTCCCGATGACCGCCTATGCGATCCCGGGATCGCGGGCCTCGATGACCACTTCGCCCACATTAACCTCTCCGCTTCCGTAGCTACCGGCGGACAGAGGCTGCAAGACGACTTCAAGGAGCCATCTTACGCACCCCAACTGCAACTCCATCCATTGATCCCCTTCTCTGCTTCCTCCGCCTCCACCTCCCCCACCGAATACCGTAGGATAGGTTCCGCCTCTGACGACGAGAAGTCGGACCGTGGCGCCATCTGGAAACCGCAACGGCAGCCTCCGAAACCAACCGAGATCGACGCTTCCATCTCCGATCCTGTTTCAAGGTATCGATAAAAAAAATTCACTTTTGAGTACGTTTATGCCTAAAAGAAAGGCGACTTTACTTTGATCTCATTATCTAGAGCGATGTACTTGAACGCGACGTCTGATCAAAAAAGAGAACTCTCGGTCTTCTCGGATCCAAGCTATGGCGTTCCAATTCCGGCCACCAATGCTGCCAGCTACCGATTGCCCTCGATGCAGCCGGAGCGGTTTCAGCAGCAACAACTCTACCCCCAGCTACAGCTGCAGCAGCAGTATATTCCGGGGAATCCCCATTACATCCACCACCCTTCCGCCGGCGGTGTCATCCCCGTTCCGTCGTACTTTCCAATAGCCGCCCACACGATCCAGCAATCGCCTCAAGCTCACCCGCACGATCCCCAGATTCCCCTGTACTACTACCCCGTTCAGCCGACTCCATCATACAATTTGGCGGCTGTGCAGCCCGGTATGGGTGATCCCAATTCCCTAACATCAGCAGCAAAACCTCCCATGGCGGTCCCTCAAGTCCCCGCAAAGCCCGAACTGCCGGCGAGTCTGTATCGCACCGCTGCACTGCAACCACAGCTGATTCACATGGCGGCCGACCAACCCCACTCGTACGCCGGAATGGGGTATCGTGTGGTGCAGCACCACCATGTCTCTCAGTCCCCTGCGACGGTGGCCAACCACGGCTATGAATTTGCTGCCGATCAAAGCCGCCCTCAGATGTACCACTCTCAGGCCACTCCCTCCCTCGCATCGACTCCTCAGTGTCAGCCACCGACCTCTGGTATCGTGATCATCGATGCGATGGCACAAGCTGACACCAAGGCGACCAGGGCATCATGATCCCATCGGTCTGCCGCAAGTGGATTGGTAGTTTTGTTACTATGGTATCTAAATAAGTCCGTCCCTGTTCTGTGTGTCATCTCGTCACTGAACTCGAGTTTGATTTATGAGTCTTGAAGTCCATGCAGCATCTGCTCTTGAAGCAGGTAATAATAAGTGTTTGAACGCAGTCTCAAGTCTGTTCGTAGCTACCTGTCTTCTTCCTTGATGTGGAATTGCAAATGAGAGTGACGTAATCTAGTGGTACAGACGGGAACTACGTGATCCAGCAGCACTGGGATACTAAGATTCTTTGTCGGACGAGCTTTTCTTTTGTTATCTTTATGAGAAGCTATGTGTGGCTCCCGGCGATTGGCAGGTCCCACCGGCTACATCAGCAAACACGAAACCTAAAGCAGCGCTAAACCCTTGGTTAGTATCTTCAATATTCTATCATAAAATGCGTTTCTTAAAGTTCAACCGAATGAGATTAAATTATAAGCACAAAAACAAAAATAATAATAATAATTTTACTGTAACTCGCGAAGCTTTTATGGATTGTGGTGATAGGGTTTGGATCACCACTCACCAGCTGATTGTGTTCTTGGTTGGGGGTGCAGAAACTCTTGATTGATTCGCTGGTGGAAACAACATGGCTTTGGACACTGAAGAATCCATGTCCTTTCTGTTCTGTTCCCTGAGTTCTGGTATCGGTGAACTTGGTAGAGTAAGCTGTTGCCAAATGGTTGAAATGTGGTAGGATTTAATAATTCACAGAGAAAAAAAATAAGATTATTGGGATTTCTAGTCCTAATCAAAATCTTAGTTCTTTCTAAAGTTTAATTCGCCTTCCATTACATTGGAACATTCGAATGGGAATTCAAACATTTAAATGTACTCTTACAATGTACGTATGCAAGAGGTTTCTCTTTTCTTTTCATTTGTTTTAATTTCTTCGTATGATCTCTCACAATCATAGAAAGGCTAATTATGTTACATGTGTTTCCCATGGTAGTCCTCGATTATGTATATTATATTAAAAATTTTAGATCAAAATATGTTTCTAAACCATTATAATAGAAATATAAGAAAATTAATGCGACAGCGAAAATTGTGTATCTCTGCCCATTGTTGTCAAGAATTTCAGTAATGATTTTTCTTAGTGTTTTGGCATTTCTCGATTTAGAACTCTCGATGTTATAAGAAATCCTTAAGATTTGAGAGAGATAGAGCATTGAGACCAAAAACCTCATTTATATAGACTCATTTATATTTTATATAAGACGTTCTTCCATCAAAAATGTTTATTACCATCAATTTTGTAACATTCAAAAATTAATTCAAGTTTGTAATATTTAGACCATCTTAAAATTTTTTAATGATAATGAATAAAAAATTATATAATAACGATTACATTTATGAATGAAAAATTAAAATATTTAGACTATAATAAATAAAAAAATTGATGATAATAAATGATGAATTTAACGAGAACGATTATATTCTCTAAAAAATTAATGATAATGGATGAGAAACTTAATGAGAATGGTTACGTTCTCCCACTTGGTCCATACATTTAACTTAATAACTTATTAATCTTATCAATAATTTTTTTAAGAAACAAATATATACATTTAACTTAATCATATCGATAAGTCCTCTAAGAGTGAGTATTATTATCAATATCAATGTATTACGATGTATTTAGTCTTTTAAGAATTAATCATAATGTGGTAATATTACTTAATTAATAAACCTTATGTTTATTCTTGTTCTAGTATAAATATATTTTTTTAAATTAATATGTACATGAATGAGAAAATATCATAATATATAAGAGTTTCAATATAATTACAAAGTGGAACAAAGTCCTATTTTCTCTACATGATCCTTGAATTTCAGATGTGGTATGCCTTTAGTCAAAGGATCAATAATCATTAATTTAGTGCTAATATGCTCAATAACCATTTTATTTTCTTTTACACGTCCTTTATGACTAAATAAATACTTAATGTCAATATGTTTACTTCGACTTTCATTTTTATTACTTTTAACTATAAAGATAGTAACTGAATTATCGTAAAAAATTATTAATGACCTAGAAATAGAATTCATGATTCTAAGCCTAGAAATGAAACTCTTTAAGCCATGCACCATGTGAAGTAGCCTCAAAACCGAAGACAAACTTGGCTTCCATGGTAAAAGTAGTAGTCAAGGTTTGCTTGACACTTCTATAAGAAATAACTCCACTAGTCATCATAAAAATGTATCTGGATGTTGATTTACAAGAATCAGCATAGTCGACAAATTTTGAATCTAAGTAATCAATTACATCCAGATTGTCTATATGTCTATACATAAGCATGTAATTTTTGGTTTCTTGAAGATACTTCATCACTTTCTTTGTAGCTCTCTAATGGTTGATATCTGAATTACTCTGATATCTTTTTACAAAAGAAACATTTTGCTTCTTCTTAATATCAGCTTTGGGTGGTTTTCCCTACTGATTAGCTTTCTGATTGACTTGATTTTTATCAATTTTATTCTTCCCACGAGCGGTTACCACCAATGCACTTTTACTCAGTTTCATCACTAACCTCTCTTCTTCTTAAATACATAGTCATTAATTCATTGATTGATCATTTGTCCCTATATGTGTTGTATGATATTTTAAAAGGTTTGTATTGATATGGAAGGTGGTTCAGAATATAGTGTAATAGGAAAGATTCTGACATATTAACCTCGAGTTTCTCAAGTTGAGCTACAATATCTCACATTTACATTATATCCTCACACACACTCTTTATATTGGTGAGTCTGAGGGATAAAAATTTCATTATTATGGTACTTGTTAATGCCTTTTCTGAAGTGACAAATTGCTCAATAGCTTTTAGCAAGTCTCAAATATTTTCATGTTGACAGTCTCAAATATTTTCATGCTAGTCAACAGAACCATATATGCTGGCAATTATCTTAGTCTTGATAAACATCACGCTGAGCCGATTGGATTGCTCCCACCGCTTATATGGCACGATCTTAGCTAGAGTGCTGGTATTAGTGACTACAGATGATTCATCTTTCCTAATAGTATAATCAATATCCATCTACCCTAAATGGAGGAGAATCCTCTTATTTCATATCTTATGGTTATCACTCCTAAGTTTGAGAATGTCACATCATATGTCAAAGAAATTAACAGTTTAAGAAATTACATAAAATCCAAAATGCTTATATCAAAATTTGAGATTTAATAGTCTAAATTGTATGTTTTAGCAATGTGAAACATGTAAAAAAAATGAATCTCATGGGTTAAATTTTTAATTCAAATATATTCAAATGATCTTTATGATAAAACTATCAAATTATATTTCAATTCATAATCCGTGCGAGTAAATTATGAAAATAATATGATATTTTATCCTAATTAATTATATAAATATAATAAAAGATCATGTAAGATAATAATTATTATATTAAATATAATCAATCATAATATTATATCTAATTATTACATTAAAGATCCTTATTTTAACTTTATATATAATTTTAATTAATTAAGGATGCTACGGCTAATCCTAAATTAATTAAGATTATATATACCACTCTAGCAATTTTGAATATATAAAATTTGGCTCATAAGCATGAATTAATATAACCAAATATTCATATAGAATATGAGTATTCTATTGATAATGAATGTTTCATTTCACTAAAAATATTGAAAATCTTATATCCTCATGAATTTCAATACCAATGTATCAAAAAGTTTGGAAAGAAAAATCGAAATTAAGCCATATTTATGGTATACAAATGAAAACTTATGTATCAAGATAGAGGTTAATCACAGCTCTAATGAACTATTAGAAAATTTAAGATCAAAATGTGTTTCTAAATCACCATTATAAAAACACAAGGAAATTAATACGAAAATAAAAATTATGTACCTCTAGCTATTATTGTAGAGAATTTCAGTAATGATTTTTCTTGGTATTTTGACATTTCTCTCGCTTTAAATCGTGTAAGAAATCCTTAAGATTTGATAAAGATAGAGCGTAGAGATCAAAAACCTCATTTATATAGACGTTCTCCCATTTATTACCATTAACTTTGTAATGTTCAAGAATTAATTAAGTTTATAATGTTTGAAAATTTTTAATGATAATGAATAAAAAAATTAATAATAACTGTTATATTCATAATGAATGAAAAATCAAAATATTTAGATCATAATAAATAAAAAATTTAATGATAATAGATGAGAAACTTAATGAGAACGGTTAATGTTACGTATTAATGATTAATACTGTGATGTTTAGAAAACAACTTGTGATTAATACTGTAGCTTGGAATTTGGGCCTGAGTTATAATGTTGGGATAAGATTATTAGGGACACTCGAGGAGATCACATCAACGAGGAAACGAAAAGAAAAATGATCAGATTGATCTGCTTCATGTGAAATGTAGAAGATTATATTGGAATTCATTTATGATTTATCTGTGGATGAGACTACGCCTATATAAATCATTATCCAGGAAAGATATCGATTACAAGACTGATAATGACTCACAAGCCTGCAGCTTTTGAGCTATTTGCAGAAACTGCCCATGTTTGAATCCCATAAAACCACAAGCTCTACAAAGGATGTGCTACTGTCATAATGTGCAACTTCACTTTGAATTCTCCTTAGTGTGTGCGTGAGTAGATATCTTGCATGTCCTTTATACGTGTGGAGACGCACGCACAAAGTGCGAGATCAATTCGTACCGCTCGTGCACGCGGCTGTGGAAAGTGCCACGCCAGATTCTCATACATTTCCAACTTGATTGGCGTCTCTTTTTGCGACTGTTGATAGATTCTGATAGGTACATTGCTGTACATATGTGGAAACTATTATATCTCATCCTATTTGTCCATACGATTTCCTATCACAGACCGGTGGTGAAGGGAAAGGCAGCAAGTTAAAGCACCCAATCCATTTTGCTTTGCCTACAACTGCAGCCTATCTTTGTTGGTGGGTCTCTCCTGTGGTGATGAGCAAGCAGAGGTGGACTGTGGAAGTCGAAATCCTCTTTGGAGGCTCCAAAACCAGCACGGAAAGGTGGACGTCGCTCATGGTTTCTGCAACTTGGCCAAAACCAGATTCAGCTTTCGAGCTGGACAAGCAAATCCAAAGCACAAGTTGGTACCCTCCCCGTAATATTTCGTTTGGCAAAGCTTACCAAGTTGAGCTCGCCAAGGAGCATGGAAGATCCACAGTGAGCTAATTGATTCCCCCAAACCGCAGCACGCCAATCACATCCCCTCTTCGTGGCCTTTCAAGACCCCCGTCGGTTAATGGCGTTTGCTGGCCGACGTACGTCACGCCTTGGCTTGCCATATGGGAGTGGAAGCTGCTTAAATATATAGCTGAACGAGGTGTGATGGATACATCAACGTGTCTTGTTGACGCCCACGAGAACGAAGGCTTTCTTTTTGAGCCTGCTGATGCTCAACTCGGCACGGGTCGTTGCTTCTCATATCCCATGTATCATACACATCCGACGTATCTGCAGCGAAAGGTCGACATGTGATCCCATGGGTTGCTGGTGAATAAGGTGGCCCAAAGCGTGAGCTTCGAGATTTGACCACTTTCCAAGAGGCCACAAAGGTTGTCTAATCTTGCAAAGCGACGCCTCAACTTGCATAGTTTAATATGGTGTTTCTGCAGCTTGGGATGTGTAATGAATGACATGGTCATTCGTTGCGTGCTAAACTGTAGTTCACATTGTGAGCAGCCACTTTGGAGGGACCTTCAATGGAAGGAACCACAAGGCAGAATTGAAACACGGGGCAAATTGTTAGAGGAACACATAAAATAACGGGGGCTTTGACTTGACATCTACCCGATCGATCGGCAGATTCATGTTGCGATGGACGCTACCCTCGCTTGGGTCTCCGTTTCCTGACCTAATCCACATTCTGTACATGAATAATGTACGTATTTTGTGACGCAAAGGAAGGAAAGAAGACAGCTTCAGAAGCTTCAGTTGCTGAGGAACGAAAGCTAATTTAAGGTTTTGCAATGATGGGGAAAGATTTCAGAATTATGTGGTACCTAAAGCTTCTCCTATCTTTGATAATTATCCTTCCAGCAGGATTATTCTTGAACAAAGTTTGCCTCGGAACATGCTAAGAAGCATTTCATTGCAAGTGCAGTAATGGGGGATGAGGAAGATACTCTTTCCATGGATTCCTTCAAGAGAAAAGGTGAGCTCCCTGTACTTGTATAACACGAGCATAGATGTTTTAGGCTAAAATGATCGAGAACGAGAGAAATTATGTTCGATTCGATTGAACACCGTTTAAATCATTGCTTTCGTCGATCGACGCGACGTTTCTTCAGCTCAGACTTGAAAGTTATTACTCATCAAGGAAGTCAAAATGAAGCCCCCATTTCGATTCGAAAGTTATGAACTCCATCAAAACGAAGCCCCCATTTCGATTTGAAAGTTATCACTCATCAAGGAAGTAGCAAACAAAGCAGGAGAGATGAGTAAAGACAACTTCATTCAAGAATGTATAGCTCCTCATTTATGGAACGTGTACAATTTCCTGTACTACGTGGGAGGAAGGAAGGAAGGAGAGATTACAAGAGACAGGAAAAAGGAGTATGTAGGAGCTAATTAAGGACTACAAATCGCTTATACGTTGTTTCTTGAAGAAGAATGACTGTGGAAATTATTCCTTCTCTGCTGCCGTCTTCCCAATGCCACCACTCGCCGGCAACTCTGATATGGTGACACCAAACAGCCTGAAAGCATGAGCAGGCCTCACTGGCTTTGTAGTGCAACTGGTGTTCTCAGGCCTCGGCTTCCTGTCGATGAACAAATGTTTCTCTGGCCCCATCGATCGCCAGAAGCTAACGGTATCGCCGGCCTTGAGGCTCTTCTCCTTCACGAACCGGATCCACCCTTTGGTTATCACGTAGCTCTGGCTGCTGTTCCAGTATGAGTACCGAAACCTCCACATCTTCCCGGTGGCGTCCTCAAAGTTCAGCAGCACGCCCTCGCATGCCGCGGCCGTGCCGGCCTTCAACGGGAAGTGTTTCTCGGCGTGCTGCTTCGGGATCACCAGCCGATTAAGCTTCCCGACGTCGCTCGGCGTGACCACCTTGTCGAAGAGCAGCTCGCGAACGGATCCGTAATAGCTCGGCATCCTCCTCCTGCCGAAGCCCATGCCGTGGCCTGCGGCGTGGAAGCGCTTGCTCTGCTGGAGCTCGTCGTGGTATGTGTGCTTACGCAGCATGTCGACGATCTCGGCTTTGGAGTGCGCTGCGAGGAAGAATAGCACCATGGAGTCTTCGTCGTCGGACTCGGACAGGGGCTTGAAGTTGGTGACGGCGTCGCGGCCACGGAATCGCTGTGCGGCGACGTCGTAGACGCGCGCGGCCTCGGCTTCATCCCCGAACGTCCCGAGCCACACGCGCTGGTGCCTCTCGTAGATCTGGGCGCCCCATCGGCCGTTGGGCTGGGGGACGACGCCCTTGTACCTGGAGGAGGGCAGCCTCCGACCGGACTCGGCCTCGGCCTCGATCCCGACCTCCGGGGTTGGGTCGAAGACGACGCTGACGCCGCTCCCCATCCGCCTGATGGGATCGGCCACAGGTGACGGCACCTCAGGGCGCTTTTCACCGTCGCTCATGGCGTCTTCGATGCAGCTCCATTCCATAACTCCGGCAGTTCCAAGGGAGACAAGCAGAGGATAAGCTCTATATGACGATCCTGAGAGGAAGGGAGGTGTTATGTAGACATAATGCAGTCAAAAGTCTTGTTGCAGTTGGAGCTCCTGTGCGGTCTCCAGGAAACGTGCTTAACCCCGATGGCTGTTCATGGAGGCGGATGGTGTGGTCAACCCCTGTGGCTGTGGGAATCCACCGGGAAGAACATTCAAGGAAAGCGAGGTGGATAGATCTCTCACTCTTCTTTAGGGTTTCATGCGTTGGGGAGAGGTGAGGTGAACTCGACAGAGGGACCCAGGGAGGTGCAAGTTGGCTCGAATGGCGTCCGCATCAGTGATGACCATGGTATTAATGTCAGTACATCCCCGGTGGAGCCATGGCTTCCTGTAGCTGCAGTGGGGATGATTTTGGCTCTTTATCTGCTCTTCATCTCTTCCCTTTCACCCAAAGTTTTCTCTATAATTTTAATTGTACGCATCCAAACCGAAGCATCTGTCAACATTTCGGTGCAGGGAATTCAGCTCGGATTCTCGTTGCAGAAATAGCTTCCTCTGTAACATATGGCAGCTCCGTCCTCGGAATCCTCACGGACTTCAAAGCCATTAATAACATATTTCTCGATGGATAGAAACACCGGAAATAACCTTATGATGCTCGGGTAAAACTCCTGCTTCGGTTTTATCGTTTCCTTCACCGATACATGGAATCATCAGACGCGTTTGAAGATGAGAACATGTGTGAAAGGAAGAAGAGCTTGTGGTCCGAGACTCCAGGAAACAAAGCTGCTCTTGGAGTATACTGGGACTTCATAGGTGAGCGAATCGATTAATGATTTCCTTAACTTGGTTACTGGGAAGAAGATTTAATCTTCGCTCAGGTTGTGGACGGTGTGCGGCGGCAGAAGAACCAGCCGAGCTTCTTCCTGATAAACTCGATGCTTTTCCGGTCCTTTCTCCGGTAATGCGCCCTGCCAAGCCCTGGTTTGCTTTGTTGTGATGTTTCTGTACGTAGAGCTTTCCCCACTCTTTCCGATCTGCGACAGGAAAGCTTAGATTTCTTGTTAAGTGGAAGAAAAGCTTCAGCTCCTTTTTCTTTTTGAGGGAACTTTGTAATGATCAAATGGATTGTTCTCCTCGCCGACGGTTTGCTATTTGTCTACACGTTGGTCTTCGAACAACATCGTCAGTTCAAAGTACTATCCGTGCTACTCCCTTTTGTTGAATTGTCGCATTCAGAAAGTGGATGGAAAACTCGATGACTTCTGCATTTCTGATGATGCAAAAGTCTTGTTTTCGTTGTTTATAAGATGTTTGCATGGTCGTCTTCCGATCCTCGTGGTCTGCAACACAGTAACTCTTATCTTGGATTCAAGGATCAGATGAGGAAGCTCTGCTTTTGGATAGAAACAGCCTCATATTCTAAGAATCAGAATTTGAATGACGGCTATGGAATACGTGAAGGCAACCGAGTTTGAACGAGTCCATTAAGTTCATACACCGGTCTTTGTACATAAATATATTCTTCTTGGATGGTGTTGAGGGATTGAAGAAGGTGTGTGTAGACAGATTGTTTGTGGAAGAATTTGTTTGTGTGATAGTTGGAGAAACACTTTCAGGTATATTTTATATATAGCTTTTCTTTTGTGATCAGTCTGTCAAGCAAACTTCTTTTCCGATGGTTTAAACTATTTTTGGCTTATGAGATAGACTTAAGTGTTAAGCTTCTCGGTCTCCTTTCTTTTCTTGATGATCTATCTTATGAGATGCTTTCATGTAACACGATGCAGCTCGATGCTTAATTGCACTTCAAATCCACTTTCTAGGAGAAAAGATTGGGAGTTAGTAGTTGCATTAGGGATGAGTTGTGGTGGTGGTGTAGGAGTGACAAGAGGAATATAATAAGACAAATGACATGATAATTTGCACAACTCCAACTAATACTTGATTATGTTAAGTTGGAGAAAACTTTCCATGGTAGGGTGACGGAGAGCAGATTTACACAAGTGGAGCGAGCTCCGAATTATTAAAAAGTCATTTGAATATAAAAATAACATCAGAGGCTTCATGAATCGAGAAAAAAAGGGTTTCTCCACCCTAATCTTGAAGCCAGTATCGTCTTTTATTATGAGATCTTTTTGTATGGTACTAATTTCAGTATGCTCTCGAACGAGATGAGGCGAGGGTGAGGCCCGAGCTCTTCGCTTCATTTCTAAGCGGCGCGCTTCAAAGTGGCGTCGCCGGGGTGCTCGCCCGAGCCCAAGCGTCGGGTGTTTCAGGAGAGTGCCCGGGTTAAACAAGATGATCGAACCAGCGTTTTAGGTCTGGTTCGATCTTCAATGCTTTAGTTGGTTTAATTCAACTAACTAAAGCACCGATATCTGTTTTCTTCTCGTAACTTTTCAACCATAACCCTACTCATCATTGTCGTTGCTACCGCTACCATTGTCGTCGCTCCCGTTGATCATTGCTACCATTGTCGCTCTCGCTTTTACTGCTCCTGATGCTCACTGACGCTGCTCGCAGCTACCACTACTGCCACTATGGTTGCTCATGGCTTCCGCTCTCGCTGTCGCTACCACTATCGTCGCTCACCTCTCCCGCACTCGCTACCATTGCTCGCTGTTACCTCGTCTCACCTCGACTCGATAGTATATTAACAATATACTGTTAACTGTATGCTAGTAATAATTTTTTTATTAGATTAATAATATATTTATTTTAATTTTAATAATATTAATTTTCATTTATTTAAAATTATTATTATTATTTTGATTTAATATTATTTTTTATTTAAATAATTATATTTATTAAATTATATATATATATGTTTTTATATTTTAGCATATCGCTTCGCTCGGGTGAGCGTCTAACGCCTTAGGCATTTTTAGACCTTGGCGCATAACACTTTTTAAATCACTATTATACGATCATATAAAATTTTGATTTCGTTATTTTGTGATATATTGGCTCTATTTCTAATACCAATATATCATTACATAATTTAATATAAAAAAAGAGTCAAGTTCGATTTAGACTCCAAAACTCTATCAAGGGAGGGTACTTAGAATAAATGCTTTGATGCTTAAGTTTGAAAATAGATTCAGAGAATTTAAAACTTAAAAATTTAATAGTTTTTAACAACTAACTAAACTAAATAGGCTGACAAAGATATAACCAATTGTATTATTTCAAATAACTAAATCAGAAAAAACTCCTATAGAAAAAGATATAATAAAAAAATCTTCGACTCATTTGCGGAGGAAAATTAGTTATACACATGACACTATATCCTAAATTCCTTTCGATGTTATTGACATGAAAATTACTTCACTGCTATAACGTTGAATCATTTCAAATCGTAAATACTTTCATTGTATACAACATGCAGCAGACCGGGCTGAGACGAGGCCCAATTCTCCCAGCTGTATGACCCACGACAGGGGTCGGGATTCTCCTCAAAACTGGTGGGCCACGAGTCCTTTTGACCCATAAAGAAAAACCTGTTCCGCGTTGGCCGTTTTACAGGAAATCCCTCCCCCTGGCCTTTAAAACCCTAACCTCGGCTCCACGGCAAGAAGATCGAGTCGAGAGAGAGGCGGAGAGCGAAGAGGCGAGATGGATCCGCAGTTGGTGGAACTCACGCAGCTCTTCGAGCGATTCAAGGCCGCCTGCGTGAGGAACGATTTCAGCACCTGCGCCAATCTACTCTCCCAGCTCAAGGTACGTTGCTCTCTCCTCCCCTCTTTCCATGATTTTTAATGGGCTGATGCCGGCAGATGTTCCTTCTTCTTGTGGTGAAGTAGGGGAGATTTAGCATGCTTTCTAACCCTGATATGTGCGAATTGGTGGATTAGCAACTCCGAATTTAAGCGATTGCGTGGTATGAACTTTTTAGGGTTTGAAACTGAAGGCTTTCAGAAACCTACCCTTTTAAATGATGAAATACTGGAGAAAAAAAAAAAGAGAAATTAAGATTAATGGAATGCAAGCTTCCATGAAAATGCAGAGAACATGAAGCCCTTGGTTTTGCTGGTCCTGTAAGCTTTAATTGCTATATATGTACAGCCAAAGATAGCTGTTTGGATCTGATGCAACTGACGTTGATCGTCTTATTCTCTGAAATTTGTTTCAAAAGCTCAGGCTTTATCTGCAGGAACATGATCCAGGGCCAGATTCAAGATGATAAATCACATCTAAGAATAGATTAATGCATCATTTGTTATTCATTTTATTTGCCTCTCTTTTGACATATTGCTCAAGGAATCTTCTTTAGGTTTTCATACAAAAAGGCTTTGTGCACTCTGCAGGTACGATTGACGGCATTTCCTAGTCTGCCACCATCATTTCAGGAAACACCGAGTGCTGTTCAGGAGCTAACAATAGCAAGTAACATTTTTTTCACTCATAAGCTTCATTTCCTTTATCTTAATTTAATTCTTAATATAGTTATGGAAGTTCTGTGAGACAGTCATTTGGCTTAATTGATTGATGCAGACCTTCATTTATGTCTGCAGTGGACTTTTATAGTCCATCTGTGTGGTGTGTTGTTGGATATGACCAACAAAATCACGTGATGAAGTCATACATGGTTTAAGTGGATGGGTGTAGTTAAGCTAGTAGAATGATATGTTGGCTGCAAGTTATCGACCAAGTTATATATTGTAATCTTGTGATGGTTGTTGTGACAAGATAATTATGTATGCCAAATTGTCTTTGATGATGTTGCACGCTGTACTTTTTTTCCATCAATTTAGTTCGGTTTATCATAATAATTGTTTGTAGTGAATGAGAAATCCTGATGGATTCTCTCATTTTTCAACTTATGATGTTTGCTTCTTCATATAACTGAATGGGTATAATCCCTCAGTTCCATTGTTCATTGTTTCTTATTATTGCATTTATGGTCTCCAGAAATTTTTGAATGACCATTTATGACATATTATGTTGGTTATTATAAGTTTCTTGATATTACAAAATGTCCGCCATATTCTTCTTTCAATAAAATCATGAATGCTATTGCTGGAGAAATTTCAGGAGATATATTTGAACATGCTGTTGTGTTGAGCGTGAAGACTGAAGATCAAGATGCCTTTGAAAGGGATTTCTTTCAACTTAAGCCTTACTATACTGATACAAGGTATGTTCTCTCAATTATATTTGCATATTTATTTTATTTTATTGCAAAAATAAAAGACAGAGATGAAAAGGTTCTTTTCTCAATGCTTATGGAACGAGTTGTACATAATTGACATTTGTTTTTTATTGGTGGAACGTATACATTGTGGTAAAACATGGTCACACCACCATGTTGGTTATAATTGATCTTTTTGTGTATCACCTAAGCATGAGCCCTTCTAAGAACCATAGTAGTTACAGTTGAACTATGTTGACTTAATGAAATTACTTTTGCTGATGCTTTGGTGTGGGTACTGTTACTGCGTTACTAACATTAGGCTAGAATTCTAATGTTTGCAGTTTTTTATTGGTTTTATTTATGATTCAATTATCTATTATCATATATCATCCATTTCCTCCATCGTCTCACTGTGGTAGTGTTAGAATAAACTGATAGCTGGCAACAGCCTTTCTTAATTATCCTATGTATGGATTTAAGTTAATGGATGGCTACTTGCATCATTTGTAACCATGCTAAATGCGTCTTCAGAGACTATTGGGGCTATATGGTTTTGCAACTATTATGTCTTTAACTTCTTTATAACTTTTTCTTTTAACAGCGGTATAATACCACCATCACCCCAGGAGTACCCGATCTTGGGCCTTAACCTACTGAGGCTACTGGTACAAAATAGAATCGCAGAATTCCACACGGAACTTGAACTTCTTCCGCAAAGTGCTTTGGAAAATGCTTGCATCAAGCATGCCGTGGAGCTGGAACAATCTTTCATGGAAGGAGCTTACAACCGTGTCTTGAGTGCAAGGCAGACTGTGCCGCATGATACTTATGTTTATTTCATGGATCTTCTTGCAAAGACGGTCAGGTAATGTGCCTTGCATGTCCTTTAAGCCATATTTACATTTTTTGGAACTTCCGAGTTATCCAGAGCATATTTAGAAATTCTTTCACTCGCAGAGATGAGATTGCTGGATGCAGTGAAAAAGCCTATGATTATTTGTCAATTAATGATGCCAAGAAAATCTTAATGTTCTCTTCTGACCAAGAGCTTTCTGAGTATATCACAGAGGTATGGATATGATAGTAGGATGGACGTACCTTTACTAATACTAAGAACTTTTTTCATGTTTAAGTCATGCGGTCCGCCCCTCCATGCAGGAGCATCCGGAATGGGAAATCAATAATGGATGCGTGTTCTTTCAGAAGGCCAAAGAATCTCAACCTTCCAAGGAGATACCGGCGCTTCAACTGATCAACCAGACATTGAGTTATGCTAGAGAGTTGGAGCGCATCGTCTGAATGTATCCATGGTGTATTTTTCATGTTAATGACAACCATAAGCTTAAGATATTTGCTTATCGTCCCAAAGACAGTTTTTAAATACCTTTGGTTTGCTTGTTTCTTTTATTCATGCAGACACCCTTTAATTTTCTTATCGCCTTAAATGCATAAGAAAAAGGTGACCAGATTTCTATTCCAAACCTCATTCATTGTGTTTCTGTGCAGCTGACCTGATAGACTCTTGAAACATTACCAGGTGAAGGTTTCTTAACCTACGGTTCACAGTGCAACCAAAAGGTATTAGTGCCCCCATGTGTTCTGTTCATGGTACTCAGATTGTCAATATATTTCCACGCTCCAACTTAGTTTCGTACTTCGACTTTTTTTCATGCTTCATGAAAATTATTTTTGGATAAAATCACACCAAAATAGTGATTTTTGTATCTGTCCTGTTAAATTTAACATAAACATGCCTATAGAAATCTCCTTCCATTTGGTTGTCATCACCATCACCGCGTCGCCATACCCACCGAGGACGAAACGTTTCGACCCTTCATTTCTTGTTCTTGGATGTATATTGCGTACTGATTGCTGCAATGGGGATGAGGTTGGACGTGCTTCCGCGTCTTCTCGAGTTCCTTTCCCTGTTTTTGACGTGGCTCCACACCTAACCATGCACGACTAATCTGCTTATCATTTTCTCCCTGTGGTTTGAATTAAAATTCGCGAGGCATGAATTTTATTATAGCAGCAACAAGTTGCGGAATCCATCCTATGACAGATAGTTTGACCGGGGACGAAGACCTACAAGTTTGGAGGCTTCGCCACCAGGATCAAGCTCGATTTCTTGTGCACCGCAATCCCGGACGCTTCGCTCATGTCCATCTCCTCCCCAGCCATCCCGTCCGGCAGCTGCCAGTCGAAATGGTACAACAAGTTCGCGAGCGCAAGCTCGGTGGTGGCCATGGCGAAAGCGACCCCGGGACAACCTCTCCGGCCTGCCCCGAACGGTATCAACTGGAAGTCCTGCCCCTTGAAATCGATGCTGTTGCCCACGAATCTCTCGGGCCAGAACTCCTCCGGCTTCTCCCACGAAACTGGATCCCTTCCGATTGCCCAGGCGTTGATCACCACCCTCGTGCATTTGGGAATGAGGTAGCCCTGCAGTCGGGCGTCTTCCATGGACTCTCGTGGCACCAGCAGAGGAAGAGCAGGGTGCAATCGAAGCGTCTCCTTGATTGCTGCCCTCAAGTACTCCATCCCTTCCACCATCTCCTCTCTCAGTTCCCCTCCCGATCCAACAATCTTTCTGATCTCCTCTTGTGCCCTCTCCATCTTTCTTGGGTGCTTGACGAGCTCTGCCATCGCCCATTCGATTGTCGTGTACGTCGTGTCGATCCCTCCAGTAATCATATCCTACATCGTATCGAACGAGAACGTTGTGGAAAGGAGGAAGTATTCTATGCGGCGATTGAGCATAGTAAGAAGATGAAGATTATGTGAAGAAAGAGAGCTACCAAAATGATGGCCTTGATGCAGTCTCTGCTGAGTGCAATACCGTCGACAGCCTCCGAGGCGAGCAAGATGTCCGAGAAATCCATAGTGCTGCTGTCGTCGCGAGCATGGTTGGTGTGCGTCTTACGCTCGTGCTCCTCTAAGATCGTCTCGATGAAGGCGTCGAATTTGATTGCCGTCTTCCTCACCCTGGCGTCCAACCCGTTCAACCGGTCGATCCAACCCAATAATGGCACGAAATCCCGCAGCGGGAACGACCCCAGTACCGTGGTTAACTCCGAGAACAAGGCACGGACTCCGCTTCCGCCACCCTCCTCCTCGACGTGCTTCCTCCCGAACGCAACTCTGCTGATTATGTCACTGGTGAGGGAGACGATCATCTCGCTAATGTTCACCCGGCTGGAGGCGGCACGAATTCTTCCCACGAGAAGGGCCACCTCCTCTTCTCGAATCGGGCGAAATGAGTGTACCCGCCTGAGGCTGAGAAGGTGGAGGACGCATACGCGTCTCACCTGCCGCCATAACTCGCCGTACTTGCAGAAGCCGACGTCCTGGGAACCGTAGAAGAGCCTGTCGCTCAAGCTCGAGTCGGGGCGGCTGGCGAAGGCCAGGTCGTGGGTCTTCATCACCTCCTGCGCGGCCGCAGCGGAGGAGACCACGACGGTAGGGACTCGGCCGAACCAGAGGAGCATCACGGGGCCATGTTTCTGAGACAGCGACCTCAGGGAGCGGTGAGGGAGGGAGCCGAGTTGGTGGAGGTTGCCGATGAGAGGAAGCCGCCATGGGGAGGGGACATGGCTGGGCTTCTTGGGTCGTGCCCGGAACAAGAGAAAGATGGAGGAGAGGGCGACGAGGGCGACGAGGGAGAGAGGGAGGGCGTCGAGGTGTGAGACGAGCAAGTGGTGGAACGACATCCTTCAGCTGGCGAGCATGGATCGCGGAGTGCCGCTTGGCGTAGTCGGTTGTCTGCGGTGCTTGTGGTGGTGAGAGGGTAACGTAATTGTGTTGTGCCGCTTCTGGCAGCTCGACGCATCGAGTGGACCGCAGGAGCGCGGCGGCGTTCAACATTCACTTTGACATATCACACCACAAGACGTCCGATCCCATCTTACATGTTTTCCACGGATGTGCACTTCTATCTTAGCTCTAAATGGTTCTAACAATTAATACATTATATAAACATAAAAATATGCCTGATCATATTTGTAAGACGCTATTAGGATGATATCCATAATTCGTTGTCCGTATGCCTATTGCGGATTCCTCGTGTCGAAGACTTCATTTGGTGTGTACTCATCTCTTTCCTACGGTTAAAGACCTCCCTCGTCTGAATTTTTGTACATGCCTTTGGACTGTTTGTTTGTTCTCTGCATTGTATTTTTCGGATCCGTATGACCAAAAGGATGCATTATGAAATCTTCCTCTTCCCCGGACAGAAGAAGCGGCTGACTTTTTCCAACTTGCATTTACCAACAGAGAATGAGTGCTGTACTTTAGAATGTCTTGAGCTCAGCTTTTGACAGAATCTTGGCACCTGCAGTTTGTGTTTGCCTGTGACAAGATATGTGCTTGCATGAGGTGTTCGTCTTGGTTTCGAGGGGGGTTTTGCTCTTGAGGATAGTCTCAGACCATGCTCCATTGACAGAGACCAACAGTGGCCAGACATGACACTGTAGATCCATGTAGATGTTTGTTTGAGCATCAATAATGATCACTGTGACATTACGCATCTTGGTCTTTTTGCCTTCTGTATAGCGGCCAATCTGCCCTTACGTTTGCTGGGTGTTCTCTACTTGAAAAAGAAGGAACAAGGAAAGGAAAAAGTGAGCAAGTACCTGCAGAAGAGCAGTCCTGCCACCGGCAGTGTGTAGGACATTTCATTCAGCTGGAGCGTATATAATCACAGTTCAAAGCCCATGATGTGTCAGGATTCATCATCTGAGAAGAAGAAGAAGAAGATGACCTCCATCCTTGAAGCAGTACACATCCTTCATGTTTCTTATTGCACTACTTGTTCATTTACCGATATTGATCTACTGCGACTAAGTCTGCTTTGTGCGGCTTAACAATGTCGATGCACATGATTCAGATTTCTTCGTTCGGATAGCTGGAACACTTCATCATCCTCTTCTGTTTTCTTCTTGATTTGACACAGCAAACACGACGTAGAAAGGAAGGGAAAGGAAATGAATACGAGTGACATATCGGAACACTATCAAGCCACGCTTTTTAGCTTGTCGCAGTTAGATATGACAGTGTGAAAGAAGTTGCTGCTATCTGTGTCCTTCCAAATCCTTTCATGGTGGTTTTAAGGTATTATGTGTCATTTAATCATGGAGACAGAATAAAAAGCAGTCCTCGAAGCTACGATTAAACATCATGAGATTAGATCTGTAGCTTTTCTAGTGGGTTTCTGATCTCATGACTGCTCCCGGAATCCTCTTGCATGCTCTCTTCCTCTACGATTGGAGTTGCACTGGTCGTGAAGACACAATCTCATGCAGCATTAAGCACTATGAGGAGGGAATTGAGAGCACTGAGTCGAGGCCTAAAAAGAAGGGTGTCACTGCATGCGCTCAATCCGAGTCCATGATGGCCACGATACGGTGTACATGTAGGGAACAAAGAAGGTCGGGGGTGATCAACAGCATCAGTGCTCGCCATTACCCACGTAAGGCCGTGGTGTTACTGACATCATCATCAACCTCTCTCTCTCTCTCTGTGTGTGTGTTTCTCTATCTACTCCTCGCTGCTCTTCCTCCTCTTCTTTGTGCTTGTGGTGGTGGTGGTCGCATCATTGGGATCTTTGAATGGGGTGTGGCAAAAAGGATGGAAAGGCTCGGCCATGGGGGACCAACTCGAGCGCATGTGCCCGCCCACCCAAGCCACTGCGAGTCCGTATTGATGCGGTAGCAACTCACAGTCCCACATATTTTACAGATAAAACAACTCCACAAACCCAATCCAAATCCTCCGTTGTGCGAGGGTGAAAAGGAAAGGCGAGGGATTTCTTAGAAAGCAGTCTCGAGTGGTCAGTAGGATCTCGGTGGAGAGACAAGGGTGCAGGTGCAGAAGCAAAGATGGCTGCGATCATGTTACTCAAGCCTGTGCAGGTGAAGAAGGGGAGATACTTGCAAAGACGGGGAGACGCTAAGAGAGAGAACGTAGAAAGAGAGAAGAGAGGAGTGTATTCCAAGACACAATGATTACTTCGTTTTGGGGGAGGCAGGAGGAGAGGCGTGGAATTGGAAAGCGGAGGATGGGACGGGAGCAGAACGTGGGGCTTGACCGAGGTGGGTCTCTCCATCTAATCTTTTTCCCATGTTTTCTTTCCTTTCACCTTTTGCTCGGTTCATCAGGCCTGGTCGGTTCCACTTCTATTCTCTCCCTCTCGTTTCTTCTTCCTCCTCCACCTCCTTTCCTCTCTTCTCTCTCCTCTCCTCTCCTCTCCTCTCCTCAGAGCCGTAGCAGCAGCGTAATAATACGTCTAGGGGGCGGTGGAAGCCCTTGGAACATGGGGAACCGCAGAGAGAATCGCGTAAGAGCAAAGTAAGACACCTCCCCCGAGCTGGACTTTGCCGTACTCCCACATAGCCAAAAGCAAGTTTCATTTCTCCCGAAAGGATTATAAGCCCAAAGGGGAAGACAAAAAGGTCATCCACCCCTCTAAAGGCATCATTGTAGCATGCTAGCGCTGCGTCGTAAGAGCTATATACGCATAGGGGGAAGTCACAGGTTTGGGAGTTCAAGAATGGAGAACTGCGGAGAAGGCCATGAATTCCAAGCCTACCAAGAAGAAGACCACAACACCGTCGCCGCCGCCGCCGCCGCCGCCACCGCCAACAACAATAGCATTAGCAACATCCAAAGTGGTGGGGGGTCTGCAACGTTTATGTTCCCGGCCCAGGTCGCCATGGGTGATGGCGCTGGCGATGCTGCTGCTTCTGGTCTCCTGCCTTGGCCACTTCCCCTCCTGAACAATTTACATCCGACTCACTTCCCGAGCTCGGGGCAAATTCGCGATCAAGACCGCTTCTTCCCTTCTCTTCCACCGCTTCCTCCTCTGCCACCGCCGCCCCCGCCCGCCTTCTACCACGACCTGCATGCCCGTCGGGCTTCAGCCGCACTGCAGCTCGCTTACGATGGTAGCGGCCTCGGTTCGTCGTCGTCGGACCCCTTGGGACTGGCGGGGCTTTACTTGGGACCCGAAGCATTAATTCGCGGCCGAGGGATGATGTCGTCCTCCCCCTTCGGAGCTCTTCATGCCGAGCTGTGCAAGATGACACCGCAGGAAATCATGGACGCGAAGGCGCTAGCCGCGTCAAAAAGCCATAGCGAAGCCGAGCGGCGACGCCGCGAGCGCATCAACGCCCATCTCGCAAGACTGCGCAGCTTGCTTCCCAGCACCACCAAAGTAAGCACATACCCTATACCCCCAACAATCTTCGCTCACAAGATTCACATATTTCATTTCGGCAGCCTTCTCGATTCATTGTGAATCTCCAATTCCCTCTGCCCTATCTGATCTAAATCGACAATGATCCTTCTACATCATGGATAATAATCATAACAGAAGACTTAGAAAGGAATTTTTAGGATTCAATACGAGACAATCCAACCATGGCTCATATACTGCAAGCCTTGAGCCTTCTGGTGCTTGGGGACGCCTGATAGTCCACGACGATAGGAAGACTGAGTTGACGAAGAAGAGAGAGAGAGAGAGAGAGAGAGAGAGAGAGGAGGGACAAGGGCTGTGGAAGAGCCGCCTGGTTGACAGGACGAGAGGAAGCAGGAGAGTATCAGGCTACCAAATAGCCTCCACGGAGATTGTTACTGCCGGAGAACAGTGAACCTAAGAAAGACAAACATGCGCACTCCTGTCAGAAAAAGGAATGCACTCGCAGTCGCTTCTCGTCCTTCCACCACCGCAAGTTCCACTCCCATGTGGAAGCGTGCATGCGAGCACCTCCAGCTCCCTCCACCTCTGGGAATACACAGTTCAAGAACAAAAGGGTAGCAAATAGTAGTTTATTAGGTAATCTGTGTATATTAGTCTCACTTCTTCCTCCTCTGACTTGTTTGTCCCCTTTCTTGTACTTCCCTTTCTTCGTCATCTTCATGCACGGAGCTCGTCTCTATTCTTTTATTCTCTTACCGTTCCATGGTCTGCAACTCAGTCACCAACCCGCGATGTGCAGACGGACAAGGCGTCATTGCTGGCAGAGGTGATTCAACACGTCAAAGAACTGAAGCGCCAGACGCTGGAGATCGCGGAAGAGAGCCCACTTCCCACGGAGACCGACGAGCTCACCGTCGATGCCACCAACGATGAGGACGGCAAGTTTTTGGTCTCGGCTACGCTGTGCTGTGATGACCGACCGGACCTCCTTCCGGACCTCATCAAAGCCCTCAAGGCCTTAAAACTACGAACACTCAAGGCCGAGATCACCACCCTCGGCGGCCGCATCAAGAGCATGCTCCTCATCACCGGAGAGGATGGTTCTGACCACCTGCAACAGGAGCAGTCCATCGCGTCCATCCAAGATGCGCTCAAGGCCGTCATGGATCGGACATCGTCAGCCGATGAGGCATCCACCGCCGGTGGCATCAAGCGGCAGCGCACCACCAACTTGTCTAGCATACTCGAACACAGGTCCATTTAACTCAAACCATACCATGCACATGTAATGATAGCTAGCGTGATCAAACTATATACCTACCTTACAGTCATTCATGTTTCTCGTTTTCTTGCATGGGCAGTATTCATACTTTTATGTTTTTGATTGTGTGGAGTTTAATCCGAAGGGAAATTATCTTGGATTTTTCATCATGTGGGATTGCAGTGGTGGGAAAAAGGTATGTTGGGGACTAAGCCCAATTGGATGGGGTGGGAACTGGGAAGGGTTTGTACAATAAACACACTGAATGGAAGACAGAGTTTTGAGTGATGGATGAGCTCAGTTTCTTCTTGTGTTTGTTGCTCACTGAGACTCGCAGTTGACTCTCTCACAGAGATCGGCATGCCGTGCATGAGACGCAGAACCCAAGGCATGCATGCAACTCCCATGCGGCCACTACAAAGGAAAGAGAAGGTTGGAATTCCGTGTCTCCATCGAGGTGATGGATTTCGCGACGCTCTACTTCTTATGAATCTCATCACGTACAGTAATAGTTACATCTTAAAGTTCGCATTATTGTGTACTTAGGTGTAGTATTGTTATTACTCTCTTCCCTATGTTTCTTTGTCTGACACAAACAACTGGAAATCTCCTTCGCAAGTTTCCGCCATGGATATATTTAGTTTGGTACACAAATCTTAGAACTGTGATTCATGGAAAAAGTGACATGGGCAGATAGAGAGAGACAAAAATAAAAGCCAAAGAAAGCTCACAGTCGAAGTTGTGAGGAAAGTACAAGTTAATGGAGGTAATTCAAAGAAAAGAGGTATAGAAATGGTTCAAAAAGCTGAGAAGATATAAAAGCAAACAAAGCAAGTGGCAGAACTCAGAAAGGGTAGGGTAGCAGAGTTCCACTAGCTTCATCTCGATGGGTTCAACAGCAAAATACAAAAGTCGAGAGCAGCAGACTTGGTTCTTTGACTTCTATAAATGGTGACAATGTTCAGGATGTACTATTTCCTGTTCTACATACCACCCAGAGCATGGTTAACAGTCCATACTTGTAGCATGTTGAGTTCAATGTATGTGCAGCATTACCTTTGACATTTATCGATTGGCTTCATACTATATCAGTGTAGAAGAACAGCTGTGAGTTGATCATCTTGTAAATGGAAATAAGGTGAGTTGAGGAGTAAATACCTAACAACTTTATTAATACGAACCATCAGTAAGCTACTTTGTTATAGTCTGATCAGCATATATGAGATAAAGCACATTACTGATGAGGTTCCTTTATCTTGACATAGGGACTCTATTGTTCTTGGATCAAGTAGATTTGTTTAGTGAGCTATTACTATCTTATGTCAATGTAAGTGAAACATTTTTTCATCACTGTCTAACATGAATTAACCTGATTAGGGGATATCTTAATCATCAACCAGGGAGATTAGCTTATAATCTATGAAATTGCACCTGAGTTACACTGTCTGGTTCTCTTTCTTTGTGTGTTGTTGATTGAGATCATGAAGAGGTAGGAGATCAGCATGGCATTAATGATATCAAGTTATTAGACCCCTAACATATTATTACTTCTGTTTCTCATCAGTGCAACATCATGATCATTAACTATAACTCCAAGGAATGTGCAGCAAATCAAGCTTCATCCATATGTTTTTACTTCAGAACTGGCAATAACCAAGCATGTTTACATAGAATGCTGCATTGTGAGCAACAATAACTCAAAATACAAGTAAAATATAGAAAACTGCCTTTGTGGACTTCAAGTTCAATGGTTCACAAGGATTATTCTCATGACATAGAAATGCAGGTGAAGATTTGCTACTTGTCTGTGCAGAAGGAATTAGCCAGTCATGAAGAAAGCAGCCACAGTTCTTCATCAAATTGTTTCAATTACAACTTGAAACCTACTACACCTGCAACACAATTTCTTCTCATGCTACAAGTGTTCTGAACTATAAATTGTCACCAAGCCACATATAAACCCTAAGTCTATCTTCTTGTCATGCTGTTGAAATGCTTAATCTTCTTCTCCTCCTTTTCTCGTGATGTGAAGGTGGGACTTTGTCCTTCAGTTTTGTTCTTCATGTACTGTCACTGCCATACAGCTTCAAATATCTATGGATTCTTAAGCTGAACTACGATGAAACTTGCTATCTTCATCGGTCAAATCTCTTGGCAACTCAGACAAGGAAAGGGAGTAAAGTTATTAGTGCAGGTATAAAAAGAGTTTCTTTTTCTGATGCACGAGTATAATAGGAAACGCCAGTTCACTCTTTTTTGGACAAACATTGACGCCTACGTGATACAGAAGATTTGTTTGACCAATATATGGGGCATCAGATCTTCTGTATCCAACTTTAGATTAGCTTTTGTAAAGGCATCATTACCTTCCTGTAACACGCGTGTGAAGTTTCAGGACTCGGCTTCTACGTCACTCACCTTGCCATGCACGGTTCCACCATCTTCATTTCCCAAACGCCCCTCTAAACTTCACAAGCTACAGCATATATATATCTTTACCGGTGTTGTTGTTCTATCTGAGTTCGTAAACGCCATGAACGTACGACTGTCGTAGGTTTGGATGAAGAAATCCTCAGCTCAAACTCGGCACGCGCCAACCACGTGAGCTCGTGACGGGAAGCACACTAGAACCGTCCCTCCCAGCGGATTCGGATCTTCAACTCTACAGTGTTTTCAGTCTGAGACCGTCCATCTTGCTTTGTGATCCGCACAATAACTTGATCCACGTGAGCCCGATCCATTAAAGAATCATGATGGGCTCTTTCGATGAGGCCCAAATGCTACAGTGTTTTCGTTCTGAGACCGTCCGTCTTGCTTTGTGATCCGCATAATAACTTGTTCCAAGGGAGCCCGATCCATTAAAGAATCAAGAAGGGCTCTTCCGATTGCGGCCCAAATGCGTACGAGAGGCAGCTCCGAGTTGGGAACCCCATCTGCGCCGCCTCGTTAGGCCACAACTCTTTGCTCTTCGCCTGTGTTAGTGCCCAAGACGGCTCGTTCGCCCACCACACTCGTTGGCGTCTTAATAATCTCCGGCTAGAATCAATAACCCAATTTGGGTATAAAACACTACATTCCTCGTTATTTAGGTCGATCGAGAGAGGGAGAGAGATAGAGAGAGAGGGGGATGGATAAAAGGAGGTGAAGGAACGAAAAGAAAGCGAGCAGCCCGGTTCTGGTGTTATCCTTCCCCATCCCCTTCTGCCGCCTCTGCACTCCCAAACCCCGACGCAAGGAAGAAGAAGCGGAAAAAGAAGATTAAAGAAGAAGAAAAAACCATGCCTTCCCCTTACGGGCCATCATCCAACCTATGGGTCCTTCTCGGGCTGGGCGTCGCCAGCATATTCATCATGACGCGGCGGATGCGGCGGCGGGCTTTGAAGGAGGATTTCGGCGCCTTCGTTGAGCGCCTACAGCTCCTACCGCCACCGCCGCCGGCGCCCCCGAAAGCCCCCCACCCCTTGAGTGGCCTCACCTTCGCCGTCGCCGACATGTGAGCGCTCTCGTCCCCCGCATCTCCCGGCCCTTCTCTTCATTCCGGCCTTTCTTTTGTTCATCTCGAATATTGTGTTTGTGGATGGAGGGATTTCTTTGCCTGCCGTTTAGGGTTTATGCGGTTGACTGATTTGCTGAGGCTGTATATTTAGCTGTCTGGTCATAGTAAAATTATAACGAGATATCAAATTTATATTCGATCAAATCGTGTAGCGATTGTTACAAGATGTCATTAATGGCAAAATAATGGGAATGGTGTAGATGATCTTGTTGAGAGTTGTGGAAAGTCCAATTCTTGCAGATGATGAACAATATATACTGGTGAAGCTGGTGTCCTACTTTTGGTTGTACATAATTTGCTAGCAATTTTTTTTTTCATGTTTATACGTGTATGTATAAAGAATTTTGGCTATATGTATCTCTTTTACCCAGCTCCTTCAATTCTGGTGATATATCGTTATGGAAATCTTTTTATCTAGAAATCTCATTACTTGATTTTATCAATGAGTTTCCCAAGTGAATTTTGCTTTGGGCTTATATGATAAAAATTTCAGCTCATTCATTTTCTGAGGTCATGAAGAAAGTATTGTAGATAGATTGTCTCTTGCCATTGTGCTATATGATATGCTAACAATGTTTTCCATCTTTACAAGTAGAAGTATAATAAATTTTGGTTATTTGTATCCATTTTACCATTGTTTCTTTAATTTTCGTAATATATTGTTCCGAACGTTTTTTTCATCTAGAACCACATTGTTTCTTTGATTTGTCACTGAGTTTCCAATTGAAATTTGCTTCGACTTATACAATAATATTTTCAGCTCATTCATTTTCCAAGGTCATGAAGATAGTATTGCAGACAGGTTGTGTCTTGCCATTGTGCTATATTATGGTCTCTTAAACTGTTTCAATTGAGCTTTGACAGTATTTCTAGCTTAAGCTATTCTCTGCGAGTGTGGTTGCTCATGCTTGAGCATCAAGTTTGTTTCCAATTATGGCCTTGGTGAGATTCTTGACTGTTTCATTAATTTACAGATTTGATATCGAGGGATATGTCACTGGGTTTGGAAACCTGGACTGGGCTAGGACTCATGAATCTGCAGCAAGAACAGCACCGATAATTTTGGCTCTTGTAGATGGTGGTGCCACTTGTATTGGAAAAACTATCATTGATGAGTTGGCATATGGGTAAGAATACTTGGTTTGTCACATAACCTTGTGACCTTTTTGCTTCTATATGTGTTTCACATAATTCTGCTGACCAACCAATAATTTCTTTGTAGCCATTTAAATTATTTGTTATTATTTTGCAAACAATGTTCCAAGTGAATACTCATATTCCGTTGATTTTGTTCCCTTTAATGTTTATTTACCAATGTAAACTTTTGCCAGCATGAGCGGCGAAAACAAACATTATGATACGCCTACAAACCCTACAGTTCCTGAGCGAGTGCCTGGAGGATGTTCAAGTGGATCAGCTGTAGCTGTTGCTAGTGGTTTGGCAGAGTTTTCCTTGGGTGAGTTCTCACAGTACCATTCTCGTACCAATGAGCTCTTTGAGATGAAACATTCTTAAAGTCTGTTTCTAGGCTAACTTTCCCTGTTCTGCACAACTTTTCTGGAAACTAAGTCTTGTTATTTGCTTGTGTTTATCATGGTTTCATCATGGTCAGTATTTTTTTTATATACACAGGCGTTGATACAATTGGTGGAGTGAGAATACCTGGGGCTTACTGTGGCATCTTAGCTTTCCGGCCTTCTTATGCAGCTGTGTCTACTTTGGGCTTTGTTCCTGTTTCCCCAAGTCTTGACACAATTGGTATGTATAGTTTTTTCTAGCACATGATTGAATGGAGTTTGACATTTACACTTCTGTAGTCTTCAATATGTATTCTGATGTCAATGAATGAGACTGACTACTTTAACTACTAGTAAAAGGAGGTTACTTTATGTCCATGTTGTCACCCTGTGATGAAAGTGCAGATGCATGTGTCAGGATGTAGTTATCAGATTTATGCCAAAATTCTGATGAGATGTGTTATATATGATTTCATGGTTTGTTTCTATAGACTTCTAAATATTTATAAACAAAAAACTGCATACCGAATGTATTATCCAATGCAAAAGAGCGAACAGAAATTAGATCTAGTCCTTTTTTTTTTCCTGATTTCATGTTGTGCCAGGGTCATGCTTTTGTTTTAGATCAGGTGGGGGTTCTCCTAAGTAACATTAACAACCAAACCTATGAAAATCTTATATACTGGAATACAAACTATAGTGTTTATTTTGATCAATTCTAAAGAGATCTCAGGTTAGGTTGTTGTTTGTTCCTTGCTTTTATGTCCTGTTAATTAGTTTGACATGTGTATTATGTTGCATTTGTGCTCTAAGCATGTCCAATTTAAATTTCAGATGTTAGTACAGTCTCTTTGGAGTATTAATAATTTCTCAGTATATGAAGCATTAACTGCATGTGATATGCTCTACATTAGTACTTACTGCAACCATTGTACCTCCCATCTGATGGAGGTAAGGGACATTGTGGAAGTTCATAGATGTGTGGTGGAGAAGAGATGCCTCTGAAATGCCATCAGCTGGGATGATTCTAGAGTTGGAAGTGGGATAGGAAATGGGCAATTGTTGAATAATTATCCCCAAAATGTTACTTCTGTGTTATAATTTTTGGAGTTTAGCGTGTGCGACTTCAGGTTTGTGCCTTTAAATAATTTCTTACAGAATGAAGTAAAATATTTTCTCTCGTGTCCTCAAATCTCATTTGTGCCTTGTAAAATATTTACAAACCTGAAGAAAAATATCTTCAGGTTTGTGCCTTTACAGAATGAAGTAAAATACCATTGCTTATACCGAAGTACCAAATATCCTCTCCTTATGCAAAGATCAAAATTTATGAAGTCAATGTTCACCTGTCAAATGGTACCTCAAGGTGTAAAGGTTTTGAAGCACTAGTAATAAAAAATGTTAGGTTTGATATCTCATAATGCTTGATTTTTGGTTGATCGTTGGGATGCTAGCTTGCTTACGCTTTATTCCAACTGTTTTTAGAACTTGTGTGCTACCAATTTTACTTAGTATGATGCAGCATAAACAGGAATACTGGCCTTCGAATTATTGACAATTTGGTTGTTGTGTTTCTGATGCACAGGTTTCTTCTCGAAGGACCCTAATGTCTTGCGTCGTGTAGCATATTTATTAATCCAGGCTCCATATTCTGGTCTGCGCCAGCCTAGAAATATATTTATTGCAGATGACTGTTTTGAACTGTTGAAGATACCAACAAGCAGGGTGACTCGGGTGCTGATCAATTCTGTAGAGAAGCTATTTGGAAGTACGCGTCTGTGTATTGGATTCTTCTCCATGAAGATATTCTTTCCTGTTTCATTATTGTCATTTTTTGTGTTATTGATTTTGCTTGAACAGTAACTTCATTGATCTATGACTGCAGAGAAACTTCTAAAGCATCTAAACCTTGGAGATTATTTATCTACAAAACTTCCTAGCTTGAAGCAACTTCAAAATGGAAAAAAGAATGGTGACTCAAAGAGTACACTGTTGTCACTTGCAAAGGCTATGCAATCACTATTCAAGTAAGTGTGGAATTCTGTTGATAGTTAACCAGCTTTCAATATTCTTTATCCACACATGTATATTCATGACTTTGTTATGGATTTTTCCTTAAGTTGGTAGTGGTAGGATTTATTTTTAAAAGTTTGGATCACTACATAATTGAGTTGGTTTTTATCAAATGATAACAAAGTGAAACTAATAAAATATTGAAGCTTTTAGCTAACCTAGCTGGTAAAACTTTGATAGTTTATTGCAAGGTCATAGGTTTGAATTTTGCCTTCACCACTTATCCTTTGCAAAATAATAATAAACAGTCTAGCAAATTTATGCAATCAAAAAGGGAGATGCAATACATTTTCTAATATGAGACCAATCATTATTCCTGATTCAAATTATTTAAATATTTTTTGGATGGCCTGGTTCAAATTATTCAAATACATTTTCTAAGAGCGGGTATGTCACAAATTAAAAATATATATAAAGAAAGAAGAAAACGGAGTAAATGATTGACAATGTCTGACCTCAGGCTCAGGAGAAGTATATAAGATTACAAGATAAAAAGAGCACGCAATTTCCATATTAAGATTGCCTGTCGTACGAAACTCTTTAGGGGGTACTGTTGCTATTGACTTGTGTTTAACTGGCTCAAGGTTGACTTTAGACCTTTTTTTAGCAAACATCTTACTCTTACGTTGCATCCAGTAAGTTGCAAAAGAAAATTGTATATTTATTTGCAATAATTCAATATATTGTTTTTCTAATTATTGACGTTTGATTGGTTTGTACCAAATTACTTACTGACCAAGGCACCAGCGATATGTTTGTGATGATGAAGTATACTAGTTAATAGTCAAGGTTCTTTAACATTTCAAGGCATCAGTCTCTAGAACTGTGACTTTGAGTTATAAAGATTATTAGTCATGCCATGTTATGTTGAGACAGTATCAGCATGTGGCATGGCTCATGGTATGCTGACACATCCTTTTTTCTATTGTTAACTTGTGCTGCTTACATGTTGATTGTCATGCCAACAAAATTCATCATTGAAAATTAATTCTCTCCAAGAACATCTGGGATTTACTGAATTAATGGGCCATCTTTTGCTTTCCATATACATGCATTTAGCTAGATAATGTGTATCTGGAAATTTATTTTAGTACTTTCTGGTTCGTAGTGATGCTTAGTATATGCTTACATCCAATTTCATAGTTATTGCTTACCAATGCATACTGTGACTTTTCAAAATCCTGTTAATGTGATTGCTGAACCATAATTATCATTGTGTTGTATTTACAGCCATGAGTTTAGAAATAATCATGAGGAGTGGATCAGCTCCACTAAGCCTGCCCTTGATCCATTTATATCAGCTCAAATTAATAGATTGGCAGATGATAGCCTTGCACTTGATTGCTGTCAGTCTGCAAGAGAAGAATCACGCTTAGCCCTCAATGCTCTTCTAAAGGTAGCCCTATGCAATTTTTTTTTTTCTTTTTGATATTTATTTGTTGAAAACACTGAATGGTTTTATAGATTATATAAGTCATATTGAAAATTGATGGGATTGCCATTCAAGATTTTGTTCTTGTGGCTCAAAAATGTGCTTCGGCTTCTTGTTGACATGTTGCAGTTGTTTGGACCTTTCATTAAATAGTTGATCTTCTAGTTAATGCTCTATGATTGGCACCATTTCTATATGCTTTTGTGGGTGTTTGTACACATCCTTCAGAACTCTACTGTCAAATTTTAATTAAGGTGAAATTACACCTACCAGTGAGAGTCAGATCTTGCATCTTGACCACCAATTTATATAGCTAATCGCATTCTGTCAGATTAAGCATAACATACTGGGAAGTGGAAGGATGTTGTAGTGGGTTGTGAAAATGATCAAAATGCAAGTAGTATAATGAAATGTTGGAATTTGATGGTGGAACATAAGGATTCTAGACTTCATGATACCAAGTATTTATGCAACAAGTGCACTGTGTGATGGATTGCAAGGATGGAATAGGGTTGACAGAACAATTATGTAGGCAGTTGGGTGCCAGCAGGGATACATAAAGGCAAAGTACTAGAAGACGGACAAAGAGAAATTCCTACCTAGCCTGCAAGCTAGGAATTGGTACCTGTTGTGTCAGGTTCATATATGTTATCTGAGAACTGAACAATTTTCCAGTTTGCAGTTACAGAAATAAATTCATACTAATCTCACTATTTTGTGGGACGTTTGTATTGCTGATCCTTGCAATAATTGAACTAAAATTTGAATTTATTCCAATGTTGAACTCGGCTTACATACATACACGTGCTGACACACAGCAAGTCCCCTAATTTCTAATAATCACACGATGATATATAGTTGAAAATGCTATATACACCTTGTGAGGTAACGTATTGCAGATGATAATTGTAGTTGTCATATACCATGGCATAAATAGGAGCCATCTAATATGTTTTATCACTGTAACTGGATGTTATACTAGTTCAAGTTGACTGAGCTGATGATTCTTACAGGACGAAGGAATACTTGTTCTTCCTACTGTATTAGGACTTCCTCCGAAGCTTAATGCAAAGGAGCTGTCATCCGAGGACTATCTAAACCATACATTTTGTTTATCTGCTATTGCTAGCATGTCAGGCTGTTGTCAGGTACAGTGCTTTTCCATGTAAACTCGTGAAATGTGTTGGTGGACATCAACATGTTCAGCTGATACTGATCCAGCAGTTATTTTGTCATGCTAACCACTGTCATTGTGTGTTTTTTTCATTTCCTCACTACAGGTCACAATACCCTTAGGATTGTTTGAAAAATGTCCGGTCTCAGTTTCCTTTATTGCCAGGCATGGAGGTGATCACCTTTTGCTAGATACTATTCAGACGATGTATGCCATTCTTCAAGAACAAGCTGACATAGCATCCAAGTCCAACTTCTCAAAAAGCAGCATTACGAATGAAGAATCCGCAGAAATTGCTAAAGAAAAAGTCAGTTACATATCTTTTTATCTCCTGTTGTGTTTGTAGTCTTGTAGATATGTAGCTGTCGTAACATCACATCTATTGTTTAACATAGTACTGTTTTTCTGAATTTACGTTTTATGCCGACCCTGTTCTGCTTCATTTGTCATGATCTCTTGTGAGATTTTACATGGATTTTTTAACTTATAATTTGGTCAAAATTGCAAGAAGAATTTCCAACCTTGGTTTAGATGCTACTACCATAGTACCATTTTTCTTATTGTGAATACTGTTTAAGTTCTTTTTTCCCATCAATTGCAGGGTAATGTTGCTTACAAGGATAAACAGTGGCAAAAAGCTATAAGTTTGTACACAGAAGCAATCAAACTAAATGGGAAAAATGCAACATACTACAGTAATAGGGCCGCTGCATATCTGGAACTGGGAAGGTATTTCTTGTTTTTGGCCTCTTGTTTTAAGATGTTCATCACTTCTTTGTTTTTTTTTTTCTAATCACACATTCGTTTTGTCTGAATAGTTACCTTCAAGCTGAAGCTGATTGCAGCTCTGCTATTAACCTTGACAAAAAGGTCAGTAGTTGTAAAATTACAATAATCTAATCTGTGATGTTTTATTTGATCATTTATTATTTTCTTCTATTTGATTATTAAGGAACTTTATTTTAGTTCCTTAATGAGCATCTTGTTCTCCTATTTTATTTCTTATGTAGCATCTGTTAGTATGTAGTTGATGCTACTAGTAACTTGCTTTGTGCACAGAACATTAGTTTCGTAATATATCTTATGTAGAGTATGTTGGTCTGCTGAAAATTTTTCTGCTGATATTCTACCATAGTGGCCTTTTAAGAAATTGGAAGCCTTCTAGTTGACTAAATTTTGTTTCCTTATGCTAGTTCAAAAGGCTGGTTCAACATGGTTAGTGGCCTGGGTTTCTGTTGCTTTTCTATATTATACTTTCTATTGCTGCTAACTGAACCTTGGTTCATGTTTCTGTGCATGCTGGTTACTTTTTACATGGTCAAAGTTTTAATTTGGATCCAGTTTTGATTGTTGGTAAGTATGAATACAATGCAGGTGCTAATAGTCAGAAGGTTTTTGTTTTAGGCATGTCCTTGATTTGAACAAGAAAGGTTCAGAAGACATGAGAAAATAATAGAAAGAAATAAGGTAAAAATAACAAAGTCACTGTAGTTTAGATTACAAAATAATGCTAAATGCAATTCCGTTACATTATCTTTAATTTAAGAGTTCTAGGTAATATAATTGAATGAGTAAACATGAATTAATTGAAAACTAAATCTCTTCAGGTCAATGCAAGCTTATAAATGGTAATACTGTTAACCTTGAAAATAATATATGAGATTATGACATCACTGTTCTCCCCATTGGATGGTAATGTTAACCTAGGAAACAATAGTATAGCGTCTCAAATTCAGTTTACATCTTGAGCTTATGTACTATTTAAGACTGACTTCACTGTTTTCCGTTGGACGGAGCCTCATACCACAGTTTAGTCTTTCTCTATGCATGTCAATGATTTTCTTGGTGTACATGCTTATACAGGCACACCTATGCACGTTCTCCCAGACTAGGTTTTCTATTCTGTATTCCATGCATTGATCATGATTCTAGCCTGCAAGTGCCTGTTACTTGATTCTTGTAGTCAAAACCTAGCAAATAGTCCGATTGGTGGTGGAGAGTGCAGGTACACAGTTGAAATTTTATGGTTGCCAATCTTTTTTATCTTGCCATTTTTGGTTTGAAACCAGGGAGAGAGTACGTGATTTTACTTTCCTCAGGCATTGTATGTCCATCTGTTTTAATCAACTTATTGTTCTGGAAAACCATCCTTTAAAGTTGGTGATGTATTCAATTTGTTGGATGCTTTAGATGCACTCAAGTGATATCAGTAAATCTTCATTTTGCATTTTCTTTATTTTCATTCTCTCAAGTGGGTATTTACCTTGTTTCTATGGATTTTGTCAGAATGTTAAAGCATATCTGCGAAGAGGTACAGCAAGGGAGATGTTGGGCTATTACAAAGAGGCAATTGAAGGTCTCTCTTACTCACATGGACACAACACACTATTCACACATGCTGACGTGCTTTAATCATTGGCTTCTTATCGTGATTGAGATATCTTATCCTTTCATATGAATTGCATCATCTCTGTTTCAACAAATCTTAATAGCATCTAGGGACTGTGCCTTCTCCCATTATCAGTAAAGAATTGTATAGATGTTAATACAATCATAGTTAACAGTGTTAATATATAACATCAATTGCTAACTGCCTTGTCTGATCTTTCTCAGATTTCAAGTATGCCCTTGTTCTGGAACCGACAAACAAAACAGCAAACCTCGCCAGCAATAGGCTAAAGCAGCTATTTCAATAAACACAAATCAAGTTGCAGAAGTCATGTTTCCTGAAATTTCTGGGAGTCGGTGGTTTGCGGGGTCATTCAGGTTCCAGCAATGCATCTTGCAAGAGCACCAATCGAAAGATCAGCAAGGCCACAGGGAACACCAAACACTTGATTAAATTACTGGGATGCTGATGTCTGCCATCCTGTTGCTTGTGAAGGTGCCTCAGTTTTCTCCTATGGTTAATGTCAAATGAGAAGCATTACTTTAATGTTAGTTCTGTCATCTTGCTGAGTTTCTCTACGTTCTTCTTTTTACTTGTACAATAGTCTCATTCAATAGCTGAATAAACTTGCAATGGTTGAGACATTTTCTATGTCTTGAATTAGATTCTTCGTTTCTTTAATTACATGATGGCCGTCTTGTTGATCTTTCATTTTTTCTCTAGAAATTATTTAAAGTTCTATTTTAAGAGCTGGTCATGTTTTACCGTGTAGACAATTAGTTCAGAAAACTGCATGATCAGCATGTGTTTGACTGAGTTCTGAAGGTTAATTGATCTTTTTTAAAAATAATTCTTCAGTGGAGCATGACAGCAAATGTTTGAATCATGGTTGCTTGTCAAACCATGATTAGAGGCTTGTTACATCCTAATAGTTAGGAATGAGTTGGGATACTTGAAGTAGTGCAAATTCAAGTGTACTCTTTTCCTTTTTTTTGAGAGAAGGGAGAAAGATGTTGATATGCTCTTCTGGGCTAGTTTGAAATGTTGGGTGGCTTCAACATCAAGTGGTTAGCAATTTGGGGCCCGATGGATCATGTGTGATCCAAAGGAAGCCTAAGATAACAATTAGTCTGCTGATGCAGGGATTTTGTGATGATATCTTTTCGTAAGTTGGGTCTGTAGGTTTCGTCATTATCTGGTCCATGGATAATGCAGAAGAAGAACTGAGAAGATGAAAAGTGGCTAGGTGGTGGTTCACTGGTTGCCATCAGATGATTGCCCTCTCATCACCGCCGCTCTTTTAGGTGGGAACAATAGTTAAGAGCTCGGCTGATGATGACATGATCCGGGCGGCTGTACGCGGCAACTACGCCGGGCCGCTGTCGTTGACGGCGACATGGGCGATCAGGTCCAAAGGAGAGGGAGTAGTTGGGTGAAACACCTCTCCTGTTCATGTGAATCAGCAGCGTTTGGGGGTGGTGGTGGAAGAAGAAGGCGTTTGCGATATTGTCTTTGACTTGGCCTTCTCGAGATGCTGTTGCCGTCCCAGGGAAGACGAAGGGAGCCGATCGATATTTGTTCCTTGCACGAGTGGGTTGCCGCGGGTCTCCCCATTCCTTCGAGTGGTAGGACTAAAAGGCCCCTTTCCCTTCTTACTCGTGTTGAGATCGGCATCGAAGTAGTCGCACATAGAATAGAAAAGCTGAACCACCAATAGGAATCGTCGTCAATCTCTGACCTGTGCCACGGTACCGACTTGGGAATCAGCCATCTGTTGGGTTCCCTTCGCACGCACATGAATGCCTTGCGCGAGTTCCAAAAGGCATCACAGTAGACTTAGTAGTACTCGGGCCACTTGCATTTGTCTGCAGGAATAATAGCACGTTGATCGTCCCTTCCGGAACCCGTGTTTGGTGTTCCCTGTGCCTTGATGTCTAGGGAGAGAGAGAGAGAGAGAGAGAGAGAGAGAGAGAGGGATGTGGCTGATATTTGTTTTGGGAAAGACGGGGAGCGGCCGATGAGACACCCCATCTACTGCAGAGAGCGATGATGGGGCCAACGGGACACCATCTCACCCTTATCTCCCGATCGCACTGCTTGATAGTGCCATCGTGACGACTCCATTATTAGGAGAAGATTCAATGAATTTGGACTTAGAAAGTAAGAAAGATCGTGGCAATATTATTACTGCCTCTTCGATTCACCTCACTCGATAGATGGACAGGAGGAGGAGGATGTAGCGTTACTGATGCGATAGAGGCTTGGATAGTGGGATTATTACATCACAGCGAGACTCACTAACACTCTATTAGAAAGAGAGAACAAAACTAGGGAATAAAAGGGAAAAGCAAGCGGGAGAGCAAACCCTCGATGGGTCAACGTGCCCACCAATCCATGGCCGTCAATTGCCGCGAGGACCGCGTGGACCCACCTGACCCGCGCACGTGCGGTGGGTCCGGCACGAGGGAAGAGCAGCAGCAGCAGACGGTTCAGAGGGAGAGAGAGAGCGATCCGGGTCAGTGGGCGGAGGCGGCGGAGACTCGCCAGGCGGAGGTGGCAATGAGGGGGCGGGTGTGCCAGCCGAGGGTGAGGCAGCCGTCCGTCTCCTCCACTCGAAACCCGTCGCCGCCGGCGTAAAGGGCGAGGAGCATGCTGGCCTGCTTGAATGCGTTGGAGCCGAGGTGGGCGGGCTCAAACCCGGCGCGGGCCATCCGCACCCGCCACTGGCCCAGCGTCTCGTGCCGCTCTGTCCGTTCCGCCCCCTCGCACGCCACCACGTTGCAGATCTGCCGCCCCAGGTAGGCCTCCGCCATCGCCCGGTGCTTCTGCTGCTGCTCCTCCTCGCCCGCCGCCGCCGCCTGCCCCCCGCCGCCTTCCAGCGAGTCGAACATGCTCGAGTAATAGTGCAGCGCCTCCGTGAACCGATCCAGGAACGTGCCCCCGTTGTGGTTCGCCTCCTCCTCCACCACCGTCACGATCCGCGGCCGCACCGCCAGCACCATCCTGAGCACCTTCTCCAACGCCCCCGTCCGAGCCAGCAGCCGGTGCAGCTCCATCACCGAGTTCACCGCGACCGCCTCTTCCTCCCCCGCATCATCACGATCGCCTTCACTACCGTCCCGTTCGAGCAGCATCCGAGACTCGAGGTCCGCAAGGCTGGAGGCCACGAAGCCGCGGTAGCGGAAGTCCACGCCGATGGTTTTGGCGAGCATGTCGAGCTTCCAGCCCACCTGCTGCAGGGCGTCCGAGTGGTCCGATTGCGGCGGGCCGATGCCAGTGAGGCGGAGCGACGGCGGGCCCCCCGGGCGGAGGGCGAGCGCTTGGAGCAGCGCTGGCCACTGCAACCCCTGCCTCATCCCGAAGTCGATGACGTGCACGCGACGGCAGCCCGAGAAGGCCTCAAGAATGGCTTGGTTCGCGGTGAAGTGGGCGAACTTGAGGTACGGGCAGCTCTCGTAGAAGTGTAGGTGAAGGAGATCCTCCAAGGCCGGGGAATCGAGGGCGCGGTCGACCTGGGAGAGAGGACGGCGACGGTAGATCCGACGGGCGATGGCTTCAGCGAAATACCCGGCCACTTTCCGCATCGGGCCGTCCTGAGAGGCGGCCAGCACCGAGATATGCTTCACCAGAGCGTCCGCCGCCTTGAGGTTCTCCTGCTGCACCGCCTCGGCGCACGCCATCAGGGCGTGAACCAGGCGGATCCCCGTCTCCTGCGTGTCCACAACCACCACTGGAAGCGCTGCTGCCGGCTTCGCGGACGACGCCCCTTCCGTCCTCGATCCCCTCGCTCTTCCAGCCTCTGCGCCCCAGGAAGATGACGAGGAAGGAGAGCAAGTCCTCTTCCGTTTCTGATCTCTCGGTGACACGATCATCTCAGATTGGGGATCTAAGCCATAGACAACGCGGCCACCGGAGGCGGCAGCCGGTGGAGGAACGGGTTTGAAGCCGTAGGCGTCCGATGGGCGCAGCGGAGCAACGGTGGTGATGGCAGGTGGCTCAGAGACGGCAGAGGCGGTGGAGACATCAAACCTCTGATGGTGGTGTTGGTGGACGGCGGCGGCGACGGGCGGTGGAGGGGGAAGCGGGGGAGGCGGCGCATTAAGCTCGGAGAGCATGCTGTCGAGCCAGGCGGCCAAGTGCGAGGGGTCGTAGTGGACGGTGTCGGAGGCAATCTGAGGGAGGACCGAGGCATCGTCGCTTGCGGCCGCGGCGGTGCTGGCCATCGCCATCTCCAGCTGCTCCAGCTTCTGGGCGACGTCCGCCATGTCCGACGACCGCACCTTGTAGCCGAGCGCCGCCAGCAGCTCGTCTACGCCGCAGTCGTCGTCCTCCATCCCCATCGATGACGCCGCCGTCATCTTCCCCTTCGCGCCCGCCATGTCCGCCGCCGTCGCCACATGGTAACCGCTACCACCTCCTGCTCCAGTCTCTTGATGCTCTCGTTTCATCTTTGCGCCACCTTGTTATTATCATACGATGGCTCAGCTACTTAATTTGCCGAAGCCAAAAAAAGGCTTCCTTTCCACACACACACACTCTCTCTCTCTCTCTCTTCTGTTCTTATGTTTTGGTGGAAGGCGAAAATTTTCAGGAAGCAGCTGAAGGAAGATGGAGGAGGAGGAATTAGGGGATGCGTAGATCGAGAGGTACGCTCGAGAAGAAAAGAAGAAGAAAAAGGTAAGGTGGGCGCAACCGTGGCATCTCTCCGGTCATTCCTTTGCTTTCCTTTTCACTGGAACTTTGGCTACCCCCGTAGATACCATTCGCCTACTTTACGATTTGAGATAAACCAACCACCAAACCCAAAACCATAATAAATAAAATAAATAAATCTTACAATAGTTCTCATGGATAACAATGTTAGGTATGTCTGATGACACAAATTCAGCATCGCTGGTCTTCCTACAAAATCTTTCAATCTCAGACTTTTTCTTTTGGATAATTGTATGTAGATAATAATTCAATCGAAACCCAAATAATTCATGCCCAGATTCAAATGCTAAACGACAACACTTCGATTCAATTGCTGGACTCCCCACAAAGCACCACCCATGTTACTATTATTATTACTATGCATATCATTATTATTATTATTATTATGGAAAACTAGATAAGAGAAAGCGAACAAGAGCGAATCGAATGGCCACCGCAACTTTGTCTTCGTTCAGAACACCGACTCGCTGCGGCGAAGATGCCAACGCCTCCCACCACCCGTACCTCACGATTCGTGCAGATACATATGATGCCCCTAGCGCGAGTCTTAAAGCGCATCTTTGATCGGAGCCAGGTCCCACCGCCACCGCCTTCCGTTGCTGCCACGAATCACGACACTGTTACCTGTCCTTGAATCTTCGGTTTCCGAAAGACGGAGAACTCTTGGACGGTGACGGTGACGGTGACTGCCGCGCTTCTCCCGCCTGTGCACTACATACCCGTTCGGCTACCCGATGTTGGATTGGGGCCGACCGTGGGGCCTCACGTTCGGCTTGTGGCATCCAGGAGACATGGTACGATTGAGCGGGGATCCGAGAGCAACCCCACATCACGTGGACGCGGTCCCCGCAGGCCACCATACATCCACTCGCAGTTCGATACGGTAGCAAGTCGTGAGGGGACCACTCGGCAAAGCTCCGGCGAATGCGTCGGAAACGGATTAAAGTCGATGTTCCGGGTGGTCCCAAGTGACGGCATCCGTAACGGCCCCTATCTTTCACGTTGGCAGCTTCCGAGGTGGTAATGACTCCATCGTTGGTGTCTTCCGGTGGATGTGTGGATTACATGCTAATTCACATCGAAGCATGTAATCATCAATTTGCGTCCATCATAGGCGGAAGGGTTTTTACGACGTTAAATTTCTTGGTGGGTTTATTATCCCTTCAAAAAGAAAACAATACAATTAAATGTCGCCAAAGTATTTTTTTTTTTTGTTACTCTATCTCTCTGCTGTTGTTACTGATGTGTTACTCGTGACGCTTGAAACCGCAGTAAGGCGATCTCCCTGGCCTGTGATTGGCGGGAGAGAGGGATTTTGAGTGGGTCCGGGATGAGTTCATATCGGTGGAGGACCAGAAGGAAGGTAGAAGAGGGTGGGTCGGTTCCAAAGGGTTAAGAAAAGCCGGATGGAAGCATTTGTCATGCGTTATGGCCGTCCACATCTGACGCTGCCGTCGGGACGAGGTCGACGTTGCCGGCGACGGCGGGCCCGTGGCGTCCCCATTAGTCTCTCGACACCTTCGCCGTCCGTCGTTCGTTCTTTTCTTTTCTTGCTTTCTTCTCCATGTGTTTTTCCGCCAACAAATAATTATTTACGTTGATTGGAGATCAATTTGTTTATGAGATGATCATTATTTAGACTTGACAGAAAATAACAGAAAACGACGATTTGATATAAATCAAATCAAAACGTATGATCCGATCGCGGTTCGATTTGAATAGCTAAAGCATCGGAATCAAATCGGATTAATTGTTTGATGATTTCAAATCAAATCAGAATCAATGGTTTAGACTATGTTTCAGATCGATAAAAAAAATACAAAAAATCTCAACAATCAAATGTCATTCTAAGTAACAAATGTCTTCCTTCTAACAATTAATTAGAGAAATATTTTATAATAAAAAAAGATAATTTCGGTGCGAAACCTGAATTATGAAATCGATTCAATTCGGATTTCAAATTATCGATCCTAAAACCAGAATCAATACTATCAAAACTAATGATTGGTGAGGCAAAGAAAAGAACAATACCATACCATGAAAAGGCATGTCCTCCCCCGACTCAAACCACCAAACAAAACTGGAGGGTAAGAGGCGGAAGAAGACGACGTAGGAGTGTTGGTAGGCGGTCCAAGTTCAGTGCGCATGGAATGATGCAGAAAGCATGGGGGCGAGCACCGGCACATGCATGCATCCATGGCGGGCTCCTGCGCTCGCCAAGCTTCCACGCACAGCTATCAAGCACCGCCGCCTCTTAATTGTCCCAACAACAGTAGACTCAAAACCTTATGCTTTTACGACCATAACATGTAAATTATATACCGATGCGCAAAAATATTCGGATTTCATTTTTTTTCTCATTAACATAAAATTTTACTTATAATTAATAGTTTTCTATTAAATTTATATTGGGTCTTGGCTTTTTTGATGATCAACTTTGACCCCCTTGCATCAATCTCGAAGCAGATGCGTCGAGAAGAGATACCATCAGGGCCTTTATTCGGCCCAATCTACCAATTTTGAGCTCCACATCTGTGCCATATCCGTGAAGCCCATAAAACCCAGTAAGAAAGAATACCGTCGCCTTCGTCGAGCAACTTACACCCGCTGGGCTAAGGTTAACTCGCTCCGCTCACTAAAACTATTTAAGACACCAACTTACACCCAAGTAGAGAACGCTTCGATGACATTTATAATAACTACACGAGCAAAATGAGCCGCAAATTGACCGCGCAGAGAACCTTCGACCATCATATACCATAGAGATAGTATATGATCAGAGGAAAAATATTACCAATGTTAAAACAAAGATATTGATGTCTGTTTCCAAAATCAAGTAATATTATGGATTCAGTTTCAACTACATAAGATACATTGATAATTTATTAAAATCATGTATTGGACTATCGACTGATTCATTTGTATAACTGTAGAAATTTTTTTATACCATTAATTTATAAATTTTTTATAAGAGGTAAAGATCCCAAAAAAAAAAAGGTTACTTAAAAGAGTCCTAATTAGATTCTAACTTGTTTTAAGATTAGAATGAGGCTCGGGTTTGTGAAAGGCCGTAACTGCAGGCATGATTGATATGAGAGGCTTCATCTGAGGAGTGTAGGATTTATGTTAGCCCAAGAGAGATATTACTTTTATTTATTTTTTAAAATATTTTTTAATAAAAAAGATTCTTATATATTATTTATTATTAATATATAAATTTCTCTTTTTAATTTTAATTTTTTTATTTTAAGGCCTTCTCTCCCTCCATCACATTGAAGTTTCGAATCCAAACCCCGATAACAAAGGAAAAGAAGCAGAAGTTTGAGGCCGCAAGAAGCAAAAGAAACCCACAAAGGGCCAAACTTCAAAACCTTATACCAAAAAAGACGATCGATGCGCAAGATAGTACAGAGCTCTTACCTTGGATTTCCGCTTCCCCGTACCCTCC